CACACATAGAGAAACAGGTAAGGACCACACAAATGAAGTACAATGTTAACATTTGGGGGAATAGGGGTGAAAGGCATTAAAAAAAGTCTGTAGTACTCTTAAAACTTTTCTGTAAGTACAAATTAATCAAAATATAAATATATATATGTATTTTAATAAGATGGGACATGTAAATTGCTTAGTACAGTGAGTACCAGGCACAGAGGACAAGTTCAGTGAACATAACACATCAACTTATTACTGATGTTACTGCCAGTTAGAGATTGTGCAGGTGAGCCCCTTCCGTAAAGTTGGAAACACTGAGGCAAGCAGAGGGCAGGAAACCGCCTTCCGGAGGTCCCGCAGGACGCCCTGCCCCTCCGGGGTGCCAGGAAGAGTTCTCTGTACAGCAGGCACCAACCAGGATCCTCAGGGCATTCCCAGAATAGCAGGGAGTCAGCACAGACACTAAACAAACGATCCCCTGAAAGAGCATGTAATTACACTGTGGGATTTCTGGGGAGAAGCCAGGTGTGAAAGGGACCCCTGGCTGAGGTGCAGCACCAAGAAAAAGCCTTCAGGCGGAGACAGCCAGATGCCTCAGGGATGAAGCCCTCCGGTGGGGGCAAGGTGAGGTCAGGGCTGCCCTCCCAAAGGGGCGGAAAGTGGGAGGGACTCCACAGCAGTTACTGAGGGAGTAAAAGAGGCGCGTCGCATCGCAGCTCTCTGGTGTCATTTCCTCTCCACCTGTCCCCTCCCTGCTTGGGGGCGAGGGCTCTGAACCCCTGGCTCACCCCAAGGAGCTGCCCTCTCAGCTGATGGTGCCGGCTCCTGCGGGGCGGGAGAGGTGGGTGCCAGAGAGGATCCAGGGATCCCGGCAGGACCCCCGGCCCCGGCTGGATACCAGAGAGGCCGGTCCCGGGTGGGGCGAGCTGACCAGCAGGGAGTTCAGGGACACGCCAGGCTCATGAGTTGCCCCAGCCCCAAGCCTGGCTCTGAGCTCAGTGATTATAAATAACCTTCCCGGCCGGGCCAGTCCAGACCAGGCCCAGGGAGGCGGCAGGGACAGCTGAAGCCCAGCCCCCTGCATCCTCACCCTCTGCCCAAAGCCCTAACGCTGGGGCCCCAGCCCTGAGGAAGGAGCTGACCACGGAAAGCCTGAGAAATGGGAGGACCCAGGAGCCCCTGGCGCATCTCATCACCTCCTGAGCCGGTGGGGGAGTCGAGACCTCCTTCCCTAGCCCCCACCCTTACACCCACGGGCACCAGAAGGGCCCCCTCCAGAAGCAGTCCCAGACCCCAGTCACAGAGCACCCCAGGCGCCCACACACCAATTCCCAAGCTCCGGAGGCCACCGCTGCCGCCCCCAGCGGACCCTGCCCGCTCCCCAAAGCCCCCAGAGAACTCACACCACCAGGTAGGTCAGGATGGAGACCTGCAGCAGCCGGTAGAGCAGGCCCACCTTCTTGTTCTTGGCGATGACGTACTTCTCGGTCTTGTAGTCGAAGAGCGACTGGTAGAGCCCCTTGCAGCCCGCCTGCCCCATGGCTCCGGCTCACCTGGCCGGCGATCGCGCGGCCGCACGTGTGGCGCATGGAGCCGCCCCCGCCCGCCCGGCCCCCAGCGTGGGCCCCGTGGCCGCCGGGTGCACGGCTTAACGCGCTGGGGCCGGCTGCCGGCGAGGCTGCAGCAGCTCCGCCGGAGGCCAGGCGGGGACCTCGGACCGCGACCTTGCCGCCTCCTCCCCTGACGGTGACAGCGCCGGGCCGCCGCCCGCCCTGCCCTGCGGCGGCCCTCCCGGCGATGGCCGCGCGGGAGGGACGCGCTGAGAGGGGCTTCCCTGGAAGCAACCCCCGCTCTCTCCGCGCCCCCAAAGAAACCCCGAGGGTTCCTCCTACTGAATAGACGGGGAAACTGAGGCCCCCGAGGCGGGGGTGGCGGGGGGAACCTACAGCACAGGAAGTGCGGACGGGCGGGATAAAGAGCAAGCTGGGGGAGACTAGACTTGTCAGACCCTCGGCTACCGCGTCGGCTGGAACGAGGTGCGTGTTCCTACTGCAGCAACTGCGGCCGGTTTAAACCCCGCACTCCCAGGCAGTAGGCGGCCAAGACAGGGAGGAGGGGAGGGGTGGGGTGGGGTGGCGTGGGGGCGGGGAGACAGGCAACCGAGGCCTGGGATCTTAAAATATGCCTGGAGAGAGGGCGGGTGCCAACTGTTTGAAATGTTCCCAAGGCAAGAGCGGGGACCTAATCTAAGCTGCTAAATCTGTCACCCTCACAACACGTGAAATTAAATTAGAGGTAGTGAGAGCGGAGATGAGAACACCTCTGAAAAGATCAGGTTTGGACCGTGGGGCGGCCTCAGAGAGAGCCTCGGGGTCCTGAGCGGGCTTCGAGTGCATGTGTGTGTTGGGCTGTGCACGCTTTGTTTTCTGCATCTCAGGCATTACCATCCTGCAGTCTGACCGGAAGCCGCCCTGCCCCTTTCCCTGGCCTGGCTCTCACACACCAATGAGAAGTCCCTTCCCTGAACCACAGGCTCTGGGAGTCAGAAGTTGGAAGGGACCCTAAAGTTCACTGGGTGTGATCTTCTCTCAAAGTAAAAGCTCCAGGGCAGCAGGTCTCCAGTTTTAGTGAGCCTGGGCATCATTTGGAAGAAAAATGCAAATTCCTGGGCCCTGCGCCTAATATTGTCACTCCCTTAGAACTAGGATGGGGCCTGGGAATCTGTGTTTTGCTGTCAAATTGCCATTTCGGAAGCAGATTTTTGCATCTGTTCATCAGTTTCAACTCAAATGCCAGTTCCTTAAAAAAAAAAAAAAGCCTGTTCTTATTACCACTCACTAAAGCAGCCTCCACCCCAACTACTTTCTATCCCATTACCCCTTCTTATTTCCTGAGAGGCCCTGTCACTCATTTACTTATTGCCTGTGTCCCCCTCTAAGGCCACAAGTTCCAGGAGGACAGGGACCTTGCCTTTAGGCATCTCTGCACCCCACGTGCCTGCCACAAAATAAGTCAATGTTTGTTGAGTGAATTCAGGCCTGATTTTTTCAAACCCAAAGAGGATTCCAGCTGCTGCTTCAATTATGACTGGGGATTTTGGAAGCTGACATCATCCTGGCAGAAAGGCTTAGGAATTGTCACCAGGCCTCCCTCCCTCCCTCCCTCCCTCCCTCAGGGCCTCTCAGCTGGTGCAGTGGTAAAGAATCCATCTGCCTCTGCGGGAGATGCAGGAGACGTGGGTTCGATCCCTGGGCTGGGAAGGTCCCCTGGAGAGGGAAACGGCAGCCCACTCCAGTGTTCTTGCCTGGAGAATCCCATGGACGGAGGAGCCATGGGGTCTCGAAGAGTCAGACATGACTGAGGACGCGTCGTGTACTCCCTCCCTCTCCTGCCAGCCTCTTCCTTAGCCCTCTGTCACACGGCTCTCAGGCCCTCTGACAACCTGCTCATTTGCCCTCCAGTGTGGGCAGCCCCTCCTGATCTCTCCATGGCCCAGCCAAGGCCAGGCTGCAGTTTCTGACAGAACTCTCTAGAGTCTTCAGAGACAACGTGAGGGACATCCAGAGGGAAAAGGGCTCTTCTCAGAGCTGGGGCCAGACTGTCCCTTGTGGGCACCCTCACAGCTTCTTAGGCTAAATCCAGACTCATTAGTGGGTCATGATAGCAATTTCCTGGGTTCCAACCAGCATATTCACACACACACACACAAAAAAAATCAGAGTGTGTTTAAGGAAGTATGGTAGACAGTTTGTGAAACTTCTGTTTGAAGTATGTGTGTGCCTATGACATTATGACGTGTAATACATTTCTTCCTGTGGGCCAAGGTCAAAACAATGTGAAAAATACTTCCCTTGAGTATCTGCAATCTAACTCCACTGTGGCTGGGGCTGGCTCACCACCCCAAGTTCAGATCTAATCCCCATTGTACCCCAAGCAGGAGAAGGGGTCTTTGCTTTTTGGATTGGCATTACTAGAAGTCCAAGTTCAGGGATACTTCCAAAACCAAGATGAATTCAGCCACTTGAGTGAAAACTGCCTGCTGTCTTTGAGTGATGGTTTTTCCAGTCTCTACCTAAACCCATCTCACTAGGCACCCTGTTCAAATGATCTTCGCCACCATTACTGTTCGAATGTTTATCAGCTTAGCAAATAGTTAAGTCAGCGGTCAGGGTGAATAGTCAACACCCCTTTCTCTCTCCTCCCCCCAAATGATCCACATCATGCTTCATTGTAACCAGTGTCGTCCACCTGAAAGAAAGGAACTGGCCATGAAGGGACTGACCAGTCTCACCTGGTTCGTAAGGCTGTTTCAGATGATTTAAGGTAACTGCAGTGAAGTGATGGGGAATTGTAAAATAAACTCAGAATGTATTCTCCAAAAAATTAAAGGAACCACAACAGGAAACACAAACTGCATAGAGCAATCTGGTCTTTGGAGGAGAGGTTACTTATATCTAACAAACAAGGTTTTATTTCCCATCCCAGAGGAGAGGAGGGCTCAAGACAAGGGCTGAGACAGGAGATCTCAATCTGTCTCAGGACACAAAAGAAAGTCATCGCAAGGCAAGGAGAGCCCTTGCTTCAGAGCCCGAAGGATGCTGGATGACCTGGGAGGGACAAGAGTGGGAAAGGCATGGCGGAATGGAAAGGGTTTCACAAAGCAGTTTATCCTTTAATTCTTCTTTTGCTCTTGAGTCCTATTGTGACAAACACATTCCATTAATAGACATTAGTGGTCCATTTAAGAAACAGCAGATATATTATTCATGTTGCTTCAAAGAGTCAACAGGAAGAAGGAAGCCCGTCTCTGTGGGAAGCATTTCCAAGTCCATCAGCAGCCTGGTGACCTGTCGTAATTAATGGGTTATTCCTCATTACTCAGTTCTCAGAATGTGACCTGGGGAAAAACTCCACTGAGGTGGCACTTAATAAACTGAAAAAAGAATAAACTGTCAAATTCCAGTCCACTTGGTATTGAAAAGGACAAAGGTTTAAACTCAAGTCAACCAAACCTTCTAAGTAACGCCAGCTCGAACATGGTACATGGTAGAGAAAGCTGATCTCGCTGCTGTTCCTGCTCCCTGCAGGGGTTTCCCCACAACCTGCATGCAGTCACCCTGGTCCATCCCCTCCTCTCTCGCCTTGAGTTCCCAGGACTGCAGTGGTGAACCCACAGCCAGTGGGACATCCTCCTGTGAACCCTGAGAGTGGGTGTGGCGTCCGCAGCTCCTGCACTCAATCCTTCCTAGGCTCTTCCTCTTTATTGCAGTCACTGTCCCCGCCTGCCTTTCTGGCCTGACAAGCCCGTTAAGCACACCAGCTTCAGGGGGGTTGATTGACAGTTTCATCACATCCTGCACTTTCCAACCCCCGGGCCTTTGCTCAGGCCAGTCTCTCCTCAGCACCCCGTGGCTTCAAGGTTCTGATTACAGGCGTCTGTCTCCTTCACAAAGGCTTCCTGGATCCTTCGCTTTCTCTGAATTCCCAAAGGACAGGATCTATTCTTCCAGGAGTTACAGCTGAGTGCTATCTCATCTGTCCTGTAGGGCGATGAGGGCAGGAAAGGCTTTACCACTCCTGCCCCACCTGCCTATAATGAGATAGATGATCATCCAGAAGAGAAGTGGGAGGGTGCGGGAGGGAGAGAGGGCCTCCACTGAGGAAGGTTGATTCCTGATTATCCTACTTCTACCCATTAGCCTGCACATTTGAAGTGTCAGGAGTACAGTGACTAAGCCTTTATTTTGAGCGTATATTCTTGAAGATTTCAACAGAGATCATTCTGCTAGAGCATTATGTTAAATTTGTCTCCTGAAGCAACTTCTTAGTCATCAAGACTCTGAGTTTGTGCTACCCATTGACAAAGTGTAATCAGATGAACAAACTCTGATCTAACTAGTGTCTCACAGGGTGTGGCTCTTGCATCAGAGATCACTGAGACAGCTTGCCGGAAAAGCTGATTCCCAGGACCAGAGCATCAGCACCTTCAGCATCCCGCCTGCAGCCTGGGAACTTGAAGAGCTGAAATCCACCTGTGCCTCTTCCCCAGCAAAGCCTGTAAACCTCCACTCCGCCAACCTATGCCTTGCCCATGTGTAATGAAGCTTTTGTGGAAAAACATTAGACCTGGAGGTTCTTCCTTAAACTAGTTTTAAGGCCCCAGGCAAGTTGTTTCCTCCTCCGTGAAACAGCTCATGGGGCCCGCAGTGACTGTGAGATGAGCTGTCAAAGTACAGAGCCTGGGGTAGACAGATGTTCTGATTAAGTGGACCAGAATATACGGAGGAGGCCTGTGAAGCTGGGTGGATAGTGTTTCACATTTATTTTTACTACTGTTCATCTGAAATCTAATATTTCCTTCGTTTACAAATGCAGACAACAAACCACAGGAGTGTCGGTAGTACCTGTATCTTTTTTTGTTTTTTGGCAGTACCTGTATCTTAATAGTAAAAGAAATTATAGATATTTTCCAATCACGTTATAGGTATGCCTTAAAAAACATTTTAAGCTCACCACTACTTCGAAAGTAGCAGTTATCAGACCTGTTGCTTTAATGCATTTAATGCATTAATAAAGAACACATGTGTGGAGATACAAAAATTTTTAAATATTTTGATCATTGTGTTTCAATATAACTGGTTCTTTATAAACTGTTATATATTTTAAAACAAGCTGTGCTGCTTCAGGAGCACATTTACTAAAATTGGATGATACAGAGATTAACATGACCCGTGCACAAGGATACACACATATTTGTAAAGCGCTCCATGTTTTTTTTTAAAAAGAAAGAAAAATTAAAAAAAGAATAAAAAATAAAAACAAGCTGGTGGATTGATAGCTGGAAAAATATGTGATAAAGCAGGCATAGTAAGATGTTAATGAACAAGCCAGGTGTTTGGTGTAAAATTTTTTCTGTACATTAGAAAATTTTTCATAGTAAAAGGTTGGGAAATAATCCGAGAAGGCGTCCCTAGGCTTCACCAGATGGCCAAAGGAGTCTGTGACACACAAAAAAGTCAGAAACCCCTGACCTAGAGGTCTGAGTGTCTTTACGTTGCTACAATACAGTGAGTTCTTCATCTCAGAGGCAAAGGACCCCAAGCCCCAGTGCAGAACCCAGGAGTTAAGACTGGTAGCCTTTCCTAGTCTAGGAAATCTAAAAGGTTTGCAGAACCAAAGTGGGCCAGTGGTGTTTTCTCCTACTCCAGCTGTCCAACTTTAATCTCAGACCTTAGTTCTAGAGAGAGGAAAAATTACTGCAGGACAGAACACTAGTCAGACCCAGGAACCCAAGGCCAAGAGCTCAGAACATCCACCAGCACTCTGGGCAGGGCTGGCCCAGGGCCCCTCTCCAGGCCTGGGACAGAAGAGCCCGCCCCAGAGAGTTCATCTTCAGTACCCCCACTACTCAGTACTGCGGCAGGTTATAGGGTCCCAGGAGTGGACCAGCCAGACCTAGACTCCTCTCCTGGGGTGGAGGGACAGGGAGCAGAGCTTCCAGCTGGCTTTCCTGGAGGCGGGCACAGTGGTCCTGTCTTCTCTGTGGTATTAATGAATGGGAAGAGCTCTTCCTTTAAACAGACCTCCAGTGATACTACATCTTCCTCATGCCCACCAACGGATCTATGAAACTCAGTTCCCCCATTCTGGAGAGCATGCTGCTCTCAGATTCTAAGTCGGATCACCTGTACTTGCCCAGAGGCTTTGAAATCTAGAGGAAAAAAATGCACCTCTTCTATCCCACAAGGCAATGCAATTCAGACAGAGCTAATGAGGAAACACCAGGGCTACATTTTAACTGGACAAGAGAGAAAAAGTAGAGCATAAAGGCAGGGACGGGGGCGGGAAGGTAATCTCATTTTATGGCAAAATAGATGATCTTGCCAAAATTTTTAAAAAAAGGAAAGGAAAGCCACGATTATATACCCATTAAACAGCATAGTGAAACGGAGATCTCAGGTATGTTCATGCTGCCTATTAACCAGGTAGTATGGTTCAGTCCTTCCAGAAAGCTATTTGGCATTGTGCGGCAATTACCAAAATGTTTAAGTCCACTTTCAGAAAAAGCTGAAAGGGCTTCTTTACAAATTGCAATGGGCTATACAAATTTAAGTTACTGATTCCCCAAAGACATGTTAACCCAAGGTACTGCCTCTTATTAGCCCCCCAAAACCCTGCATCCAGCATCAGTGTTTTATCTCTGACACTGGACCCTTGAAAATGGTCACAAATAAGCACAACTGGTAGAAGCTATGATCCTGTTTGTTTGTAAAACACACACAAACCCCAAAAACCTATGTTCCTGTATATATGTACATGTGAATATTACAAAAGCACAGAATATGGTCTGGAAGATATGTGCCAGACCAGTTCACCTCATCCTCTAAGGAGGGCACAAGATGGGGTGAGGTCGCAACTGAGGCAAAGTTTCACTTCTCACTCTGATCTTACTATGAGAATGAATATATATTTAATAATATTGATACTTATGTAGTTTTTGAAATGTCCTTCCACTGATCAAAATAAAGTCAACTGGAGTTGGGCTAACTGTCTCTTTAGGTGCATCCAGCTACCTTCTGAACGCTTGAGAGTTGAACAACTGCTCTTCCTGGAGTAACTAAGAGTCCCTTGATTCCATTTACTGGAGCTGTTCTTAAAGTAACAGTAAAATTCTGGCACTATTACAAGGTAATAATTAGGGCTAAAGTGAAGTGAAGTCGCTCAGTCGTGTCCAACTCTTTGCAACCCCATGGACTGTAGCCTACCAGGCTGCTCTGTCCATGGGATTCTCCAGGCAAGGATACTGGAGTGGGTTGCCATTTCCTTCTCCAGGGGATCTTCCCAACACAGGGATTGAACCCAGGTCTCCCACATTGCAGGCAGATGCTTTACCCTCTGAGCCACCAGGGAAACCCAATAATTAGGGCTGGGAGACCCCAAAATACCTAAACCCTGATCTTAACCAAATATCCCTGCTTGTATGGATATGAGAGAAAATGCATGAAATAACACACTAGCACAAATCATTTTAAGACTACTGGGCTTGGCTGAATGGAATAAAAATCTAACTGGGCCTAAAAAGTTTGACCAATTTATTACAGATTGATCCCTGAATTGGGAAGATCCCCAGGAGATGGGAAAGGCTACCCGCTCCAGTATTCTAGCCTGGAGAATTCCATGGACTGTATAGTCCGTGGGGTTGCAAAGAGTCGGACACGACTGAGCAACTTTCACTTTCACTTTCTCACATCTGCTTATTTCATCCCTCCAATAATCAAATTCTAAGTTCAGATGTTATCATAAGAGAACAAGGTTATCTGAATGAGCACTCACAGGCCTGTATCGGGGAAATGAAAACAGAAACTGGAGGGGCATCTCTCCCATGCTAGTGTCCAGCTGGCCCCTTCTCAGTCCTTTTCTGGCCAGGACAGTGGCCCTGTCGCATGACCCACTGTCCTTGGATCTGTGTAAGCTCTGGCAGGTCCTGCTCCCAGGCAGAGGAGAGTGAACAGGAAGTGGGAAAGGTTTGGCACTTGACAGGCATCTTTTGGAAGAAAGACAAGGTTGCAGCCCAAGTCACAGCTCAGGAATTTATACAATGCAACCATGTCTCCATTTCAGTCTCCTCCTCCTCAAGGACTGATCCCTTATGAAGTCTCCTGACCAGGACATTGGTCTAATCCAATCATAGCCCAGTCAGTCAATAGCTTATAGGCAGTCAATGTAAGACTTGACTGTTATAATCACAGTGAGATCTTATTTGCAATGAACAAGTATAAAAGCAGAGACTGCAAGTTACCTGTAATAATGAAAACCTGGACACACAACAGAGAAATATCTAAGCAAATTTACTTCCTTCTTTTCCTTCAAAGGCATATCTCAGAGACAGTGCAAGTTTGGTTCCAGATACCATGACAAAGCAAATATCACAATAAAGTGAGTCATACAGATTTTTGGTTTCCCACTACATATAAAAGTTCTCTCAGGACTTCAGTGGTTAAGAATCTGTCTTGTAATGCAAAGGACACTGGTTCAGTCCCTGGTCCAGAAAGACCCCACATGCTAAGGGAAAGCTAAACCCATGTGCCACAACTACTGAGCCCCTGCTCTACGGCCCATGAGCTGCAACTCTGAAGCCTGCGTGCCCTAGGGCCTGTGCCCCGCAACAAGAGAAGCCAAAGCAATAAGAAGCATGTGCACTACAACTGGAGAGTAGTCCCTGCGAGCTGCAACTAGAGAAAGCCCACACGCAGCGACAAAGATTCAGCACAGCCAAAAAAAAAAATTATTTTTTTAAAAAGTCAGGCACAGAGGTAACTTCTTAGACCCCCATAAGTCCTAGTTAGAGAAATAAGGATGAGGAAAAGTATAAATATCAGAAAGACTCCAAATTACCATTATGTGCAGAAAGGACCTTGAAGTCAATGGAAAAGCTATGAAGAAAGAGTCCAGGGAATTCCCTGGTGGCCCAGTGGTTAGGACTCAGCCCTTTCACTGTGAGGATCTAATCCCTGGTTGGGGAACTGCAATCCCATAAGCCTCACAGCTCGGCCAAAGACAAACAAAAAGAAATAATGAAAGCACTTGAATTAGATAAAGAACACAGAGAGATCACAGGATTGCTTTCTACATTATATATTCCTGCTTCGCTTGTTTGCAATGATATTTATCACCCCTGAAAACAAAGACTGTGCCACTGACGGTTGAGAGTGGAGAGATGCGGTCAAGTTTTAACAGCATAGGGCATATAAACAAAATAAGGATACTAAGAGCAGAGTCAACCTGTAATGAGGCCCTAATCTCGGTGCCCCCAACTCCCAGGCCAGGTTGCACCTCCCCCTGTGGACAAGCATGTCTCTCACTGAGACATGAAGGTCCCCTGAGCAAGTCACTCAGCAGGAAGCCAGGTGAGGACCCGCACAGGATGCTCAGCAGACTCTACAGAACAAAGTCCTGGTCTCCTCTCCTTGGTCCTGTTTGGGTAACCCCTGTTTTTCTACTTTTTACTTTTGTTCTGGGGGTGCTTTTTCATGGCCTAATTTGAAATAACAGACTGCATCCTTCGATCATAAAAATGCCAGACTAGGAACTGCTTCTGACCACTGTCCCCCATAAAGATGTACTTCATGGAAGACTATTCTGGAAGATGTTAATAGAAATGGCATGAAAAAAGTGCTCTTAGGCAAGTAAGCCTGAGAGATGCAGTATAACCTCCTCTGGGGTGGGGTGGGGGGAGGATAACAAAGTATATCATATTTGCATATTAAAGGCACTTCTGTAAAGAAAACAGTTTAACTTTATTTACCACCAAATGTTTCCCAGGTTTCTTTTCTGCACAATGCACAGGCACTTTGGGGACAATGTATGGTTAAAAAACACTCCACGAACAACTTGTTAGATTCCGCACTTGGTCATCCTAAAGGGAAGGTTGTCTGTACAACACCCGGTCGCTAGAAGTTTCAGGACTGGCTGATACTCTCTCCAGATGGATGAAGAAGCTGCTCCTAACTATCTTGTTCCAGCAGACTCTGATTTTAGCTGGTCCTTTCTTATGCTCTCCAAGTTCAGCTCTTTGTATTTTCTTTTAAAAAAGCCACACTAAAACAAAGGGAGGAAAGACCAATTACAGGCCTCAGCTACCCACCTGCTTTAGAAAACCATTTATCTTTTCGTTGCCAAATATCCCCAGTGCTCCTCTGCTTCTTCTGAATCTCCCCAGATGATCCAATCCTTCGAGACCCATCTTAAATACTGACTTCCCGCAAGCATTCTGTGTTCGGTCTCCAGTCAAAAGTGGTTTTCCACCTTCCTCTGAACCCCTACCCCACTTTCACCTTTTTAATTTAACTAATTCTGCTAAGTACTACCGTTTCAGCTGTACTGGATCCATTTATGTAAAAGAGAGAAAGAGTTCAAGTACAGCCCCTCTACACATCAAGAAGCTCACAATTTAGTGAGAAGAGAAATAATGACAACACAGTATAACCACTGCTTCTTGGAAGAGTTTCTAGAGGACAGGTCAAGGGAAAAGCATAAAGGTCAGTTCAGAGGACTCAGGAATCTCTGGGCTGAGTTTTAAGGGAAGAGCAAGAGCAAGTTAAGAAGGAAAGGGCTTGGGAGGCGGGTATAGAGAGCCTCACTGCAAACAGACACACAAAGCTATTCAGTTAAGTGTATTGAGAAAAAAAGCAAGACTCGAGGGTGGAGAGAGTACAGGCAGACATTAGATGCCTTCAATAGCAGTGAAAGAGTTTGACCATTAAATCAGGGGAAGGAAAGGAAAGGATTTAAATAGGAAAGGAACATCAGGTCCCTTTTAGGAAAATATCTCTGTATGCCAATTCTTCAATTAGATCTTGATCTTTTTCAGACAGAAGCTGTCTTGATTCATTTGCCTCAACAGGTGTGTGGCTGAAGGAAGAAGGAAAAGGGGTCACAAGGCTAGGGTAACTGTTCGAGGTTAGGGGCTGGCTCTCTAAGCAGAATTCTGCCCAACACCAGAACCTTCATGAACGTGGGGGGAACTGACCTTGACTAGGATGACTATAATTACGATCAAAACCAGAAGGCCCCCGACACTGCTTTTAATGATGAGAAACAGAGAATACGCCTCCTCATCTTTCAGTAGGATGACAGTGATCTGCAACAAAACACAGAGATCACCCTGTAAGTCAGGTGAAGCAAAATGAGGTAAAAATTCCACATTATTTTAAGAAGCAAAATATATGAACTTGGCAACATACTGTGTATTGATCAAGACTGACAACAGTAAAGCAAAAAGCTAAACCTTTCCTGATGCAGTACTTAAAATTATCTAATGAGATTTCCGGTTTCTGGTTCCACATGTAAGGGGCTTGGAAGTCACCACTCCATGCTAACAAGGGAAAAGGTGACCAGACTGGAAAATCAACAACTTTTCTTGGATCCCTAAGAGAGGGGAGGACACCAGGCAAACCTGCTGCCACCAAGAGCAGAGGGACAGACAGACAGACGGACACAGAGACAGAGGCTCCCCACCGCCAGGGAAGGAAGTCCTGAACTGCAACTAATGGACTGCTCTAAGCACAACAGTGATGACTCTGGTAATACAAATTACAGGCCTCAGCTACCCACTTGCTTTAGAAAACCATTTATCTTTTCGTTGCCAAATAGCCCCAGTGCTGGCCTGTAATTCCAGGGAACCCAGCCACTGGGGTGAGGTTTACTCTAGGAGCTAGACCAGGTTCCCAGAGTCAATGCTGGAGAAAAAACCCTTCACGCTTCCGGCAGGGGGAGGGGAAAAGTAACTACTCTGAAATAAGCCAAAGAACTCTGATCTGAACAACGACTGGGCTCAGGGGAAACTTAGTTAACCCGAGCCTAACCTGCTGGATATAATGAGAGCCTAACTGTTCTGGGGGAAGGGAAGTGCCCAACTCAAGCCCACTCTAGCCATCTTGTCCCACCTAAGGGGGCTGAAAAACAGAAACAGTGAGGAAGTTCACAGGCCAGAGGCCCAGGCTCATTAAAAGACTGAGACCTAATCACAGAACCACAGAGCACCTCCCCTCCCCCACATCTCACACATTAATGAAGGTCTGTCGACAGAAGTTCCTTTTACCCGGTACAGCATTTCTACCTATCAAAAGAAAATTACCGGGTATACCAAAAGGCAAAAAAACAAAATTTGAAGACAGAGAGTAAGCACCAGAACCAGATATGGCAAGAAGGTCAGAATTATCAGACTGGCAATTTAAAACAACGACGATGAATATGCTAAGGGCTCCAAAGGATAGAACAGACAGCACACAAGAACAAACAGCAGACAGGCAATGTAAGCAGAGAGATGGAGACCCTAAGAAAGAACCAGAAAGAAACATGAGAGATGAAAAGCTGCTGTGATGGGAACATGCCTTCGATGCACTCATCAGTAGACTGGACATGGTGAGGAAAGAATCTCTGAGCAGATATAGCAACAGAATCTCCGAAAAACAAAGAGAACAAAAACTGGAGGTGGGGTGGGGGGAGGGGTGAACCAGAGGACAGGAAAGCGATCTGATAACCAAAATACTTTATACAAACTATTCTGGTCTCCTATCTAGAAGTTCGCCAGGAGACTGTGACCTTTTGGTTGTTTGTGTGTAAGAGAGAGTCTGAACCTGGCACGGGTTCAATCCCTGGTGGGGGAACTAAGAGCCCGCATGCCACGTGTAGTGTGGCCCGAAAAAGAGAAAAAGAAAAGGGAAGGCGTGTGAAGAAAAACTCCTTTTGCTACTGACCTCTTGGCTTCCTATTCTGTATTCTGCCATGTGAAAATGTACCGCTGGGAGAGGTGGCTACTTTGGGCCAGCCACAAGGGAAGGCATCACCAGCACATAGTCAGGAGAGCTAAAGAGTCGAAGGAGCCTGGCCACTGACACTGGTCAGCCTCCATCCCCAGATAAACACAAGAGGCCTTTAAGGCACGTTAGCAAGAGGTTTTTTTTTTCTTTGCAGCTGAAATGCACTTAAAACTTAGCTTCGGGTACTGAATTTTAAAAAAGGAAAATCATCATGGGGACTCTACATAAAAGCATCAGTAAGTAAAGGGGGAACATTTATACATAAATAAATGACTTAAGAATGTGCATATAAGACACTGTTAACAGAGGGTCCCTTGGGGAGGAGGGAATCCAGGGTGTGAGAGACAGGGAGTGAAGGAATCACTATTTTTCATTTGGGATCTTTGCATAGACTTGGATTTTCTTGTTTATCTGTTTTGTTTTTTTTTTAATTTGTGCAATGATATAATGGGGACACTTCTCTTTCTTCCACATCATTTTCTGTATCAGACACACTCAAAAATAAACAGAAATGTTATTTCTGACATGTTTAGAGAACTGTGCCTTTCCCCTCCTCCAGGGAGGAAATCAGAGGAGCTAATGTTGAGCGATCCACTCTCACCCTCTGACACTCAGGCTTCATTAAAGAAATTACAGATGGACCATTTTTAGCGCCAGGAGCCACCTAGGCGAGTGTCAACAAGAATGACAGCCCTAGCGGGGCACACACAGTCTTCAGCTCACAGATCACAAAGGTCAGTCTGACTTGCAGTCATATGTAAAACCTCTGCAAAACGAATCCAAGGGTTCCAGGACTTAGTTTAAGACTTATGAGAGAATTCTGGGCTCATGAGTATTGTAACCGTGGGACACTGTAACTAAACACTGGTATCACACACTAGGAAGCAAGTTAACACATAAAATAAAAAAAATTCTCAACTAGGAAATTTAAAAAAAATTTTTCAAATCAAAGTATATATAGGTGTTGATTCCAGCCTAGTTATAACAACTGAGACTTCCTCTGCTTAGGCCTCTTACTCAGTTGCTTCATTTCAGAGACAGAAAAACTTAGGCAGAAGCTGAGTAACTCAAGGTCATGGAGACAGCTGGTTGCAGAGTCAAGAGCAGAGGTGATATGACTGAAACAGGAAGAGGGCAATAGCAAGTGCCTGTTTGTACAGGGACGCTAAAACCAGGCACAGGTTGCTAGGACTACACCCAGAAAACCAGAAAACAGCCGGGGATTACCTTAGTTCTGTGGTTCTCTGTATTGAGTCCCTCATACAGAGATGTGTTGAAAGATATTTCACCAAGGATCTGCAGCTCAGTCACATCTCTTAGTAACTATAAGATGGGGGAGAAAAAAATTAAACATATTTTAGACATGGACCTACTGTACCTTTATTTTTTGGAGTCAACTTTTTTTAAAATTGGAATATAGTTGATTTAAAATAGACTTCTAAAAAAAATGGACTTACAATTCCTGGACAGCATCATTCCTTATGTTTCTGTTTTTTGGTCGAAAGGCATCTAGGATCTTATTTCCCCAACTAGGGATTGAACCTATACCCCCTGCACTGGAGGGCAAAGTCTTAACCACTGGACTGCCAGGGAAACCACCCCTCCCCTCTCATCTTTCCCTTTCAATGTGTTCCTTCTCCAGTATTCCTCATGTCTAATGAATGGCCTCAGCAACCACTAAGTTTCCCAAGCCAGAAACCTAGTTAAACCTCAACTTCTTTTCTCTTACCCTTTACCTCACACCACACTCCCATCCCCAAGTCAGTTCTTGATGATTCTTTTTTTTTTTTTCAGTCTCTCTTACACCTGTCCTCTCCTCCATCCTCACTGCTACTTCTTCAGCTCAGATCCCATCATTCTCACCTGGATCATCACAAGAGGTTAAACTTGACTTTAGTTCCTACTTTTGAATGAGTGATCAGGGAAAGTCTCGCTAAGAAGGTAACATGTGAATCAAATATAAGAAGAAAGCACATACATGAAGATCTAGGAGAAAAGCCATCTCATGCAGAAGGAATAGCAAGTACAAAGGTCCAGTGGCTAGAACAATATTGGCAAGCTGGAGTCTAAGAAGCAGGGAAGAGGAAAGTATTAGGAGATGGAGAAGTAAGCAGAGACCAGATATAGGGTCTGGGGCACCACTGAAAAAGACAAATTTCAGTCTAAGTGTATACAGTTTTTTCTTTTTAAAGCAGAGAAGTGGCATAGTGTTTGCTTTTAAAAGACAGCTGTTCCATGAAGAATGTCTGTGGAGGGCATGGCAAAAGCACAGGCAAGAAAAGCAGGGAGGAAGCTACCGCAGCGAATCCAGCAAGAGGTGGTGACCTGCACAACAGCAGCAGTGGAGATGGACAGAAGTGAATGGATTCAGAATATATCTGGGGGTGGGGATGGGGTAGAATGACACAGTTTGCTGCTGGAACAGATAAGGGGATGTAAGAAAAAGGATTTCGGACTTCCCTGGTGGTCCAGTGGCTAAGACTGGGAGCTGCCAATGCAGGGGACACGGGTTGGATCCCTGGTCAGGAAATAGATCCTGCAAGCCACAACTAAGACCTGGTGCAGCCAAATAAGTAAATAAATAATTTTTTTTAATTTTTTTTTTTTTTTTTAAGGAAAAGCAGTCGCCAAAAGGAATTCCTAGAGTTCCCAGTAAGTCAGCAGTGTAAGGGCATCCCAGACGGCTCAGAGGTAAAAAAATTCCGCCTGCCAATGCTGGTTCCATCCCTGGTTCGGGAAGATCCCCTGGAGGAGGAAATGGCAACCCACTCCAGTATTCCTGTCAGAATAATCCCATGGACAGAGGAGCCTGGTGGGCTGCAGTCCGCCGGAACGCAGAGTCGGACACCCCCGAGCACGCAAACAACTGGTAAGTTACCCTAGTTAGTTACCCCGAGAGACTGGGGAAGCAACAGGCTGGAGCAGAAGGTGGATCAACAGACCTGTTTTGGACACGTTATATTTGGAGATGCTATTAACATTATCGTTTCCAGGGAAGATGCCCGAGAAACGAGGATTAATCAACTTAAGTACCTGCTTTGGCTGATTCAAGGAGAGCTCTGCAGCCACGGTTACATTTTCTTTATCCGAGGTGACCTTACAGCTCACTGAATGCCATTCTTCCACATGCTGGAAGAGGATGAGTGTTCATTAGCACGATCTCTTTAGGGGGTGGGAAAGCTGGGAATTTTAACACTTAGCACACAGACAACCTCAAGATTGAGGAATAAAGGGTGTGAGCAGTTTCTGCCCTCATTTGGTTCCAGCAAAGCCGCAACCCTGGCAAACGTGAGCCGGTGAAGAGGCTAAGGGGCGCCTCAGAAACGCTCGGCCTGTGCTTTCAGGGGAAACCTCGGCAAAGTACAATCCCGGCGTCTCACGTCACCCGCTTCAGGCCCTCCTCTCTCCCCCGTGACCCCCCTCTCTCTGGTCTTTGGGATGACTGCGCTCACCTGAACCAGATCGCTCCCACAGGCATCCTTGTGAGCCTGAGTGCACACGGTGTGGGCCTGAAACGACAACCACCCCAGTCTATCCCTGCAACACAGTGAAAAAGCCAAACCGCCATAGTTACCCGCCCCCTCCCACTTCTCGCGAGATCCCTCGTGACTGTGCGGACGGCCGGGCGCTAGGACCCGGCGGGCAGGCGCGTCCGCGTCTCGAGGAAGTCTCGCGGTGTTAGCATTTGAACTGCCTGGCGGGTGCCGGCCATGGCGGCGTCACTCCCACTACCCGCGAGTGGGCTCTTCCGAACGTACGGGGCAGCCGGCGGCGGGGGGCCGCGGCGGCGGCCGGGCCTAACAGCCGTACAGTGGTTCCCGCCGCAGGACCGGAAGCGTTTCTTCAGCAGCAGTAGCAGTGACGCCAGCAGTGGCGGCCCCTCGCAGTCTGTCGTCTCCGACGATCCTGACGACCCCGACTTCCCCGGCAGCCCGGTGGGTCAGCGGCGGAGGCGCGCTGGCACCCGACTCGCCAAGGGCCGGCCGAGTCAGATCGCGACCCCGAGACGCCTGAGGCTGCGATCGCGGTGCCCGCAGAAGTGCAGCACCCCCTGCGGCCCTCTAGGAGCGCCATCCTTTCCCAACGGCAACCCGGGCTGCCTGAGCCCGGACCTCAGTGTGTGCGACCAGCCCAGGGACGGCGGCGAGCTGGGCACCAGTGCCTCCCTGTTCAGCTCTCCGGCCTCTCCCGGCCCCGGGTTCCCTGCGCCAGAAGACAGCATCTGTACCGACCCTTCCACCTTTCTGGATGCAGCCTCAGAAGCTCCGAGCAACTTCCACCTCCCAGAAGCCTCCCTGGACCAGGCACCCCTCCCCTGTTCGCAGGACGCAGCGATAGGAGGAGGCAGGCTCACCAGGTTGGCCCACCAAGCCCAGGCCAGCCTCAGGTCAGTTCTCTTTAGCTTTTTGGACTCAGGAAATCCTGAGGATTCTGAGCTTGGGACAGATGGGAAGAATTTGCAGGAGTTTTGCCATGACAGGGAACTAGTGGGGAGGAGGCTGGAGAGCCCAGGCTTATCAGGCAGGGGTAAGAAGAGGTCCACAGACCAGGACTCTTGTCAAGAGATTGAGTCTCAAGAGTCTGTCCAGATAGAATACGAGGAGGCCCGTGGGTGCAAGGGCGGAATCGCACCTGGGAAAAGCAACTGGCCTGAGAGAACCAGGCTCAGCCGAAAAAGGAAACATCAAGGGACAGCAGAAACCTCCCTCCTCCATCACCGCCAGGTTACAAAAGGCCAAAAGATGGAAGACGATTCATGTGTCACCCAGGACCTGACTCGTTTACAGAATGCCTGCTCTTGGACCAAAACCAGAGCCTCTTTCAGTTTCCACAAGAAGAAGATCGTGACAGCTGTGTCTGAAGCGTGCAGCTGCAACACCCTGGCCAGTTCTCTGTCTGAGTCCCTCATGTCTGAATATTCACACCACTCTGTTGGGAACAGAACAAGCTGTGCTCTGTCCCCCTGGCACTCCTCTTCTATGTATTTGCTAACCCCCTTAAAGACACAGCAGGTCACAGACAAAAAGACATCTGATGCAGAAAAGCTTTATGGGGAATGCAATCAGGTGGGTCCCATCCCCTTCAGCGACTACCTCTCCGAAGAAAAACTAGAATGCTGTGAGAAGATAGGAGAAGGGGTGTTTGGCGAAGTGTTTCAAACAGTTGCTAACCACACACCTGTAGCCCTAAAAATCATTGCTATCGAAGGACAGGACTTAGTCAATGGAGCTCACCAGAAAACTTTTGAGGAAATCCTGCCAGAAATCATCATCTCCAAAGAGCTGAGCCTCTTGTCTGATGAGGCATGCAACCGCACAGAAGGCTTCATTGGGCTGAACTCGGTACACTGTGTTCAAGGTTCTTACCCTCCCTTGCTCCTCCAAGCCTGGGATCACTATCACTCAACCAAAGGGTCTGCAAACGACCGGCCTGACTTTTTCGGGGAAGACCAGCTCTTCATCGTGCTGGAATTTGAGTTTGGAGGGATCGACCTAGAGCAAATGAGAAAGAAGCTGTCCTCCATTGCCACTGCCAAGAGCATTCTGCACCAGATCACCGCCTCCCTTGCCGTGGCCGAGGCCTCTCTGCACTTTGAGCACCGAGACTTGCACTGGGGGAACGTGCTCTTAAAGAAGACCAGCCTCAAAGAGCTCCACTACACCCTCAACGGAAAGACGAGCTCCATCCCCACCCGAGGGCTGCAAGTCAACATCATTGACTACACCCTGTCCCGCTTGGAGCGGGATGGGATTGTGGTTTTCTGTGACATCTCCAGAGACGAGGACCTGTTTATGGGAGAAGGTGACTACCAGTTTGAGATCTACAGGCTGATGAGGAAAGAAAACAACAACTGCTGGGGTGAATATCACCCATATAACAACGTGCTCTGGCTACATTACCTCACAGATAAGATCCTGAATCAGATGACCTTCAAGTCCAAACATAACACCCCCGCCTTGAAGCGAATGAAGAAACAGATCCAGCATTTCTATCAGACTATGCTGAACTTCAGCTCTGCCACGGACCTGCTCTGCCAGCACAGTCTATTTAAGTAAGCCGTGGGTTCTGAGCACCCCCAAAGGAGAGGGCGTGGGACTGGAAGCCCCTGATTCTGTTTTTAACCTTTGTCCCCACAGCAGAGTGGGATTCCTGCTCTTACAAGTTTCTAATCAGCTGTTGAAACAAGAATTTTGTCTCCAAATAGAAACTGAAATTTTTAAACTTAACAAATTTTTTTTAAAAATAAACTATATGTGAGAACACCGTTTACAACTGAAAAGCCCTTTTTCTGTCAGCAGACTTCATTTTGTAAATTTCTTTCCCCAGTTTCCTTTTTGAGCTTTGACACTTTGTGTAACCTGAACAGAAAAAAGGAAAATCAGGAACACCCAAGGCCTCAGCTGTCACACTGCTAAGAGCCTGTTGCTGTAGGTGTCATAAGGCTGGCTTTGGGAACCACACTACAGATGAGTCAACCAAGAGCAAAGAGGCTGTACCACAGCAGAGTCCCGGGCGTACAGACTGGGAGACGAGGAAAAGAAGATGGTAGACGATTTATAGGGAGAAGTGCCACGTGTTTATCAGTCTCATTTGCTGATCACAGAGAAGCAGAATTTATCCATGATTTTCAAAAGGAAAATAAATGTCTCCGTGGCTACTAAAAAGGTTGAATTTTGCTTACTTTTTTCATCAAGGGAAGAAAAATTGAAATGTCAGTTTGGGCTGAATAGTTAATATTCCTTATGAATATGACTTGGGTAATTTACTCCTAAAATGCATTCCCAGGTTAACTCATCTAGTTTTTATACCTTTGCGAATCCATAGTCACTCTGGAAAGAGATGTGATCGTGATATAGAACCGCCTCTATGTACCTGAGTCTTGGTCAGGTTCGTCACTGTTAGGAACTGGAAACCTCGTAATTTAACTGGAACACAAATTTGCAGCTGGAACTCGGCTCCAAAGTGGTTCTCCCCATGTATCTACAAGGTAAAATCCAAGCAGAAAGTCACGGCTGGTGTTGTTTTCCCACCTGTTGGCTTTGCGATGATGAGCAGAGCACTTACGTTGAAGAGGAACTCTTTGTGGTGGGAAGACCCCTGGTTTATGTTCATGTACGTCACTGAGGGTCTGCAGTTGAGAGGACATGGGTTAGGCCTCAGGGCCCCTTTCTCATTTTAAATAAACCTTAGTGCTATCAGTTGGATACACTAAAAGGGCCCCTGATTCTTAACAGAGATCAAAGTTGAATAGCAAAATGTTGAGCAGTGGTGGGGCAGTTGGAATCAGGTTAGAATATTTGAATTCGGTCTCTTCAGGCTGGTTCTGTGTCTGTATCATTCCTCAGGGGGGCCTTACTTTTTCTCTTCCTTTCTTCCCAATCCCTTAAGTCCTCTCTTCCCTCCTTAGCATCCCATCAGTTCCCTTTGGTATCAAGACCTGTTGGCACTGTTCGTCCTTTGATTACAGCCACAGGGTTTCTAGGACCTAACAGTTAGTGCCCTAGAGATCAATGGGAGCCTGGGTTCTAAGCAGCCTCCTCTCAGGGAAGGGCAATGCCCACATCCACCCTGACCACTAGACCCACCACAAAATGCCTGAAGCTGTCCCACAGGTGTGGGGCCCCCTGGAAGTACTTACTTGGGAAGAACCGCAATGAAGGCATGTTTGATTTGAAGGCTGTGAGTTTTATTGACCAAAGACCTTCTTTCATTGGAACTAGGAAATAAGAGTGTCAGTTTATAGCACCCCTGCTTTGTACACATGGCTGCTTACCTTGGCTCCCCAGGATCACTGGGGGTCAGATAGAAAAGACTTGGAGATAAACAGAGTGCAGAAGACTTGCTGGAAGACCAGACTTGGAGAAACACTGATTTTAAAAGGGTTTCTCCAGGACTTCTCTGCCAGTCCAGTGGTTAAGACTCCACGCTCCCAATGCAGGGGGCACGAGTTCAATTCCTGGTCGGGGAACTAAGATCCTGCGTGTTGCACGGTGTGCCCAAAAAGACAGTGTTTCTCAGCCTTGACAATATTGATATATAGCGCCAGGAAAGTCTTTATGAGTGGCTGTCCTATATATTGTAGGATGTTAACATCCCAGGTCTCTACCCACTAGATGTCAATAACACCCCCCACCAAATTCATGCCAATCAAAAATGCCTTCAGACACTGCCCCTGGGAGTAGAATCACCCCTGTTTGGAAACTTTACCAACTGTGTACCCTACCCTACCCCAAACATAGAGGTTTTGCAGAAGACAGAGCATCTCTGAGGTTAGGTGAACCCAAATGAGTGCTCCAGTGCAAAACTCAGTCTGCTACATTTTAAGTATCTCTGATAAGGGAAAGCCAGGTCACTGTGGGGACACAGGTGCCTTCCAGGGGCTCCCTGAGGCTTCCCTTCTGGGGCAGTAAGGAGTCATAGCTCTGACGCACACGCTTGGGAGGGAGCCTTTTTGCAGGACCACAGCCCAGGCTCCCTTGACCCAGGCATGACTTACTTGGTGACCATCACAGTGATGTCGGCTGTCCTGTTTGGAAAGACACTCTCCTCCAGCTGCCAAACTAACGAAAAATTTGCCTAGTTAAACAAAAAAAGGTGGGTTGATTCCCATTGATACCACTCACAATTCAAACTGCTTCCTATTAACTAAACAGACCTGGAAAATGTAATTCAATACTCCATGCTTCTATAGCACAGCATGCTTCACGGTTCCTTTATTCCCCGTAATACAGTGTCAGGATGGGGTGAGCAGGGCAGATAGCACTATTCCCCTTTTACAGTCAAGGAAGCCTCTTGAGAGGTCTCCCACAGCACAGAGATCATCAGTGGCAGGTCAAGGCCTCGCCTCAGGGCTAATAACCTTCCAGACCACCCCCAGCTTTACTCTGCTGTTGGGGTGAGCCAGCCTTGTCTCTGACTGTACCCTCACCTCCACTGCTCCCTACTCCCAGAGCACACTGGGCAGTTTTATGCTGTTACAGATGATGATATAGTCAAGGAAAGTGTGGACACTGCAGCTGGGAGATTCTAATGAGCCTGGGAAGTAGAAAAACACCAGCCCTAGGGGAGTGAGAAGAGTCAGCCAATCAAGAGAGACTCATAGGTCTTCCCTGGGTGTCCAGTGGCTAAGACTCTGAGCTCCCAATGCAGGGGGCCGGGATTCCATCCCTGGTCAGGGAACTAGATCCCACGTGCTGCAACTAAAAGATCCTGCATGCCACAACTAAGACCCAGAGCAGCCAAATAAATAGAAAAAGAAAAAAAGAAAGAAAAACAGACTCACAGATGATCTCTGGAGGATGGGGTGACCAATCTTGCAGTTCATGACCAGGAAAGAAGCAGTTGGCTTAGGGTCACCACACTGAATGTCTGGAGAAGGAGGCTGTTAACACAAAAGACGTGGTTTTGAAAAGGCAAAAAAAAAAAAAAGGTTCAGTTTCCTCACAACAACATGCCAGACACCCTGCTAGGAGCTGGGGATACAAATAAGCCAGTCTTTGTGCTCGTCTCCACAATTTGGGCAGAAGGGCTCAGTACCAGATAGGTGAAGAATTTAAACACAAGGCCTCAGGAGGGCTTCTAGGAGAGCAGCACAGAAACAAGCAGTAGAGAAAGATGAGGTCCAACCAGGAGGAATCAGTCTTCCTGGGGAAGGAGACGTTTGAACTGAACCTTGGACCAATGGAAGGCCCCCTGCATTGCCACGCAGCCTTTTTCAGCCATGGTTCCTCATCTGGACCACTGAATATGGAAAATGACTGACCACTGTTTTTTTTAATTCTCCCAAGGATGGTGGGTCTAGTTCCTTTCTAGATGCTTAGGAGATCATGGCATGTAATGGGTGCTGTCCTAGCTCAAACAGCCTCAGACCACCAGGGACATACCCGTGGGAAGACAGAGCCAGGTTTGTTTACTCATTAGAGTGAGGAAAACTGCACTGTGGTGTATCTCACCAAACAAAGGAAAAGATAGTTATTAAAGGATTCTGGGGAAAGTTAGAATTTGGGGAAATATAAACAAAGCAGTGTTTTATAGGCTCAAAATAAAGCAGGGATGGGACTTCCCTCATGGTCCAGTGGTTAAGATTTTGCCTTCTGATGCAGGGGGTGCAGGTTTGATCCCTGGTCAGGGAGCCAAGATCCCACATGCCTTGCAGCCAAACAACCAAAACATGAAACAAAAGCAATATTGTAACAAATTCCATAAAGACTTTAAAAATGGTCCATGTGGGGGAAAAAAAAATCCTTTAAAAAAACAAAAGCGAGGGCTATGTGTAAAAGGGCCACTCAACATCAATTCTAGGCTGCAAAGTGGACCCAAAGACCCATTTTCTTGGAAACCATTCAGGTGAATGTGAAAAGCTGTGTAGAGAAACATTTTATCTGAAGTTTCAAGTCTCAGATGGAAAATGAGAATGCTTCTCTTTGTCAAAACAGTTTAGATTCTCCAGGCAACAGTAAGATGGTTTCATAATTACAGATATAACTTCAAACAGCAAAGTTTCTGACTGCCTATGATTTTAGAGAGCAAAATATTTCAGTGTTATACTTTACAGCTGCAGGGTGTCCTTGGGAGAAATACTGTTTTCTGGTATCTTGCAGCTGGCTTTGAGTCTGTGCTCCCAGGCTGATGAAAGGCGAAGCAGACTTTTACTTTCCAGTCAAGCTAATTTATTATAGATTATTTCTGTCTCAGAACTCTAGTTAAGAAAGGCTGCAGGCAGAAGGACTGATTGGGTGGCAAAATAGTGCCATTGATGTTTAAGGCAGAGAATGATATGACTGGATCCATGGCTTATTGTTGAATTAGAGGGGATTTGTTTAGTTAATAATCATTTATTGGATGGATGAGGATGAGGCAGGAGGCAGAGTTAGGAGGTTTCCATAACCAAGCAGAGATGCGGGAAGGGAAAGTCATGAGCCATGTGGTTCCAAAACTGCTGTCATAGTTACCTTCTGTATCCTCTTAAACTGCAGGTTTCTGGGGAAATTCAAAGCCACTCTCGTCATGTAGGAATCTTCCCCAGAGTTAGTCAGGCTAATGTTCATGGTCAGCTCTTTTGTGAGACCCACCACCAATTCCTGCCTGCACAGGGTAGCCAAAGAGATAAATGTTACCAGTTTATTTAATCTGTGAAAACCTCAGTGAAATGCAACAGCACCTTCTTAACTTCTTAGATAAATTGCCTAAAGGATACATTTAGCCTAAATCTTCTTCCCCACAACAGAAGCAAGCACCTGGACTTCCATACCCACCTCAGTTGCTGTGTGACATGATCATTTATTTAGTATTTGCCGTGTGTTGGGGACTGTGTTAAATGTCTCACACTCTCTGCTAATCCTGGTGCTAACTCTAAACTTGTATGGTTACTCTCTGTGCTGCAGTGAAGGGAACAGAAGGCAGGGGAGGCTCACTCACGTGTCTGAGGTCCAACAGCCCTGAAAGGGATTTGGGAGAATCAGATCTAAATCCTCTTTCTACCACCAATTCACTATGACCCCAGGCAATGAACTTTGAAACACAAATTCATCCATTCCATACGGGGGACTTTGTGCTAGAAACTCAACGCAAGAGAAACAGCATGCGGGGGACAGACGCTGCCCCCCATCCCTGCCTTGGCCTCAGCTTTCCCACCACAAAATCCCCCTGACCCTTCCAGGTTATGGGCTGTGAGTTAAGACATGAGCCTGTTCAGCATGGAGAAGAGAAGATATGGGGACGGGTGAGGGCTTCCTTCATGCTGAGGCATCGTGGGGTCCCGGAGTGTACAACCACTCTCAGTAATTGAGATCTACAGGGAAACACATGAACAATATGAAGAAAACTTTCTAACCATCTGAAAGGTCTTAAAATAGAATGTGCAGCTCTGGGGAGTAATGTGACCTTTGTCTTATTGAGTCATTTTTGTTTTTTTATCACAGCTGAGAAGAGGATAGCAGGCAGTCACAGAGCCTGTGTGGGGATTCATCTGGGAGATGACACAGGCCTGAAATGAGACAGTAATAGTGGCGATGGGGAGGGTGATAAGGCCATGCTTGCAAGGAGAGCGCAAAAGAGACAGGAGTTGGGATTTCCTCTGCCAGTTCAATGGTTACAGGCCCAGTGCTTCCAGTACAGAGAGTGTCGGTTCAATCCCTGATCAGGGAACTAGGATCCTACATGCCATGAGCATGGCCAAAATCTAAAAAATTTTTTTTAAAAAAAGGGAATCGAGGATGTGTGTCCTGAGTTTCAGTTTCAGAGTTTCTAGCTTAGATGACCCAGTGGGGCTAGTCGTGATGGAGAGAACACAGCGGGAGACCAGAGGGTGGAAACTGACCAGATGAGCTCAGTCCGGGACATGATGAGAAGTTCTCAGAGGACAGGGAGGCAGCGACATTGAAATGTCAGTTGGGTGTCCTGTCTCAGAGCCCAGCAGAGAGATCTGAGAGTCACTGGAATATGTACCAGGGATTCTTTTTTTTTTTTATTTTTTTTATTAATTAATTAATTAATTTATTTATTTATTTATTTATTTTATTTTTTTATCACAACCATAGTGTCCAGGGATTCTTAACTTGAGGTCCAGGGACAGTTTCAGAGTTCCCTGAATGCAAACGCTTTATGTCTGCAAGTGTGATCATCTAAAAACAAGTGTCTGTAGTTTACCTTAGATTCTTCAGGAAATTCATGTCCACAAAAAACGTCAAACCACTGAGGCATTTGGATGCTAAGGATTAGGCTCAATACTTTGGAAAAAAGGCGAGACTGCCAGCTGTGGACACTAGGGGGTGATGTAGGGCCAGCTGTTTCACAGTCTATTCCACAAGGACTTGACTTGGGAGGGCTTTAGGGCCTGTAATGAATTCCCGGTTAGAAACAAATCTTGTTAGGCTGGATTCCAAAGCACTCAAAAGCCTTCACTTGGCTCCTCCATGACTGAGACGGGCAGTGCTAAGCTATCCACATCTGAAACACAAGTCCTGCAAATGTCTATGAAAAGGTTTCTCAGGACTCAGAACAGAGCTCTTCTTCAGAGATGCCAACTCGGCCAACCAGCCATCAGTGCCATGTTCCGCACACAGCACTAGGTGTGGGGGGAAGGGGCATTTTAAGACCACCACGTGTCCAAAACCAAACTCATGCAACCCACTCCAATATTCATGCCTGGGAAATCCCATGGACGGAGGAGCATGGCGGACTACAGTCCATGGGGTTGCAAAAGATTCAGACACGACTTAGCGACTAAACAACAACAAATCATGATAACAACAGAAATGATAGACAATCACAAGGCAAATGGGAGGGAAATCTAAAAAAGAGGAGATACGTGTGTTTGTATAGCTGAGTCACTTTGCTGTAGAGTAGAAATTAACACAACAATGTATAGCAACTATACTCCAATAAAAATCAGTTTTAAAAAATTACCGAGCTCATGGCCTCTCCTCCCCACCTTGCCTTCCAAAACCATTCTTCCAAAAGCTTTCCCAATTCAGTTCTTGGCATCAGCATCATTCTAGAATTCAGCGTGTTCCAATAGAACTTCTGAAGTAATGGAAATGACCTATTATATATCTGTGCTGCTCAAAACCACTAGCCATATGTGGGTATTGAGCACGTGAGATGTGCTTAGGGCAACTAAGGAACTAAAATCTTCTTTAATTTTAATTCATTTCAATTTAAATAACCACATGTGACCAGAGGCTATTGTGTTGGACTGCACAATTCTGGATGCTCGGGCTGGAACCCTGAAAGACTTCTTAGACCCCCCTCTCTCACTCCCCACATCCAATTTGTCATCCAATCCTGCAGGTTCTAACCTCAAAATATAACCACCTTCATTGCTACCACTCTGGCCCAAGTCATATCACTTCTCACCCGAGTTATCACAATAGCTCCCTACCATTGCCCTGCCTCCACCTCTGCTCCTGCAGTCTGTTCTCAACATAGCAGCAAGAATGATCTTATTGGGACTTCTCTGGTGGTCCAGTGGTTAAGAATCCACCTTCCAATGCAGGTGATGTGGGTTTGGCCCCTAGTCGGGGAACTAAGATCCCACATGGTGCAGGGGAACTAGAGAGCCCTAGCGCAGCAACAAAGACAGCTGTGTGTGGGGGAGAGCAGCCGCCCCCCCCCCAAAAAAAGAATGATCCTCTGAAAGTGCATGGTCATGTCATTCCTCTGACTTCCCAGCTCACAGTAAAAGTCCTCATGGAAATGGAGCCACATATGATTTTTCCTCCCCTCACACGGCAACATCAATTCAATGAACATGAGTTTGAGCAACCTCCGGGAGACAGTGAAGAACAGAGAAGCCTGGCATGCTTCAGTCCATGGGGTTGCAAAGAGTCAGACAAGACTTAGCCACTGAATAACAGCCCCTTCCATTTACTCTGGTGTCCTGGCCTCTTCCTCCCACTTCCAAGCGCCCAGCTCAGGGCACTGACAGATGCCCTCCCTTCAGACACCCACAGAGTTCATTCCTCCACCTGCTCTTCCATGAAACCAAACATCACCTTCTCCATGAGCGCTTTCCGGACCACTCTGTTTGAAACCCCAACCCCAACCTCATCCCTGGCACTTCCCTCCCACCTTCCCTGTCTTCTTTTTCTTCATAGTACATCTTTTCAACACAAAGTTGACTTACATATTATCTTCTCTCCGTAAGCAAAATTGTGAAGTGAGAAAGGGGCTTCCCGTATCTCCCAGCACCTAGAGTGCTGGGCACAGAGGAGATACTCCCTAAGTATGTCATGAATTAAGTAATTTGGTTAAGTGGTGAGCCAGGGACGAGGTTATCTCTAAGTGAGGGGGTCCTAGGAGTGAGGGACACTGGGTTATGGAAAGAAATCTGGGTGTAAGTCCATCCAATGATCATGGGATCCCACACAGGCCTGCAACTACTGACTCTTCCCAAATTCATAACATAAGAATACAAATCTGTCTTGCCTCCTTCATTGGGTGGCTGGGGAAGCAATGATACAATTAGTGCGAAAGCCCTTTGTGGGCTACGAGGGAAAGGAGGAGGAAGTGAGTGATCCTGGTGAGGGGTTGGTCCCGGTAAGCCTTCAGGAGGAGAGTTAACTGCAGAAACCATGACGACTGGATTCAACTCACTGGGAGATGGTGGTGGCCAGCTCTAACTCCGCGACACAAAACAGCTTATTCTTGCAGTTCTTCTCGTAGGGCAGCTGTAAGCAGACAGAGGGGGGCAGCATCAGCCCAGGGAGCCCGCCATCCCCAGCGGCCTTGCTTCGTGGTCTTCTCTCTAGGACATGTGTTTCCCTTCCACTGACTCTGAGAAGTGCGGGTGAGGCTGACGGGCTGAGGTTGTGTCCACGTGGCTGTGAGAGGTGTGACTGTGCCGTTCCTGGATTTGTCAGGGATGGGTGTGCTGGTCCTACCACACAGGTACCCATGCATCAGGCCACTGGCCAAGGTCAAAAACAGGGTGACCTTTGTGAAATGGTGGGAGTAGCTGTCACTTGCATATTATGCTAATTAAGTAGCAACACTCACAGCTCACTACTCTGAACATTTGGGGGTAGGTGAAACCATATGAAGAAAAGCCTCCTTAGTCCTGTTAAGTAGAGCGGGAACAGCAGGGGACTAATTTGCGGGGGGTGGGTACCTAACCGAATATTGTCAAGGTTCAGTCCCATGAGCTCTTCTACCCCCGTGGCTAGTCTTCTCTGTAGGTTAAATATTCCCCCTTGCAGTCTTGCCTACACCAAACAAATTCAGAAATCACAGTGGGACCAAAAGGTCCAGGTAAGATTGAAAAGCTCCAGCTCGGGTTGCAAAGTCATGTTTTCCAAAGGAGCAGGTCTGTTTTTTATTATGAAGGAGACACAGCCAGCTCCCTACCTAGGGAATCACTGCATTTATCTTCCCAGCAGCCAGCGACCATCACAGTGGCTTTACACAAGGACTGCTTCCATGATTGGAGCTAGAGTGAGAGCCCAGAGCAAGGAAGAAACCTTGCAGTGCCCAGAGAAGGGGGATGCAGATTGCAGAAGTCAGAGCCTGGGGCTCTATCAGCAACGGAGGGTTGTTTTTTTTTAAGTTTTGCTTTTAATATAGCCAAGCAGCTTGTTCTCTTTCAGTAGGATTGAAACATCCTAAGCTCCCAGCTAGAGCTCATTCTCTGGAAATACCTCTGTGCTTGCTGCTGCTGCTGCTGCTCAATCGTGTCCGACTCTGTGACCCCATGGACTGTAGCCCGCCAGGTTCCTCTGTCCATGGGATTCTCCAGGCGAGAATACCAGAGTGGGATGCTTATTTCCTTCTCCAGGGGATCTTCCCAACCCAGGAATTGAACCCACATCTCTTGCATCTCTTGCACTGGCAAACAGATTCTTTACCACTTTGCCACCTGAGAAACCCATCTATGTGCCTAAACACCAAATAATTTCCCCTCACCCATTTCCTCAGTCAGAAATTTTTTTTTTTTAATCTCTTTGTCGAAGCATCAAAGTAATCATTGATTAAGATAAGAATCCTGAATGGATGTTAAACAGGATACATCATAGGTCAGCAAGTCAAGAATCCACCTTCAATACAGAAGACACAGGTGATACAGTTTCCTGATCCCTGGGTCAGAAAGATCCCCTGGAGAAGGGCATGGCAACCCACTCCAGTATTCTTATCTGAAAAAATCCCACGGACAGAGGCACCTGGCAGGCTATAGTCCATGGGGTCACGAAGCATAGGACACGACTGAGTGACTAAGCACACGCAAATGTAATCTCAAAGCATCTCCTCATAATATACTTATTAATTACAAAGGGAAATAGCCCCAGTGTGACTTTCTGTGTACAGGGCAGATGGTCCCCACACAGTCCAGTCCAGTCCCCACACAGGCCTTCTACCACACCATCATCAGAGACTTGTGCCAAGTATCCATATGCTTCATTAAATATGTAGCAGGCACCTTTTGTGAACAGAAAAGAACCAGCCTTGGGAGTCACTTGGAGACCCGTATTACCCACCAGTGAGGTCCTAGGCAAATTAACACCATCTCAGGAGCTCTATTATCCCCATCTGTGCAGGGAGGGTCCTAAACATTGTCTGAAGACCCTCCCAACTTTAATATTCTTTGAAGATAAGGGAGCAGGAACTTTTACAGGGGTGGCACCCGGGAGAGTCTGGTCCTAGCCAAGTCACCTGGAAGGTGGCGGAGGGCTCAGCATAGAAGTTCAGGATTGGTTGAGGTTGGTCCATCCGGCCCTCAGGGGTCTGGAGGTGGTAGCTGACCTTGACGGTGATGTTGGAGAAGCAGTCCTCCTGACACAGCTGCACAGTCACCAAGGAATGCGAGGTTGGAGTTGGATGTGGGAGAGAAGATGACAAAGAGAATACTTTTAACTTTGATGTGGTCACAATATTAAAGAATGAAAGGGGTTAAGCTAGGAGTCCTAAGCCTCTTCCAAGTAGGCCAGGCTGCGAAGAGCACTGCGAAAACCTCCCCTGATCTGCCATGGCCTCAAGTCTAATTTCTTATGGTTCCTGCCCTAGTCACAGAGGGGTTCTGGCCAGCAGGAGTTAAACTCCAGCTTGGACTTAGAGAACAAAGGGCAGCCAAGAAGAGGAAGAGTCACGGTCTCAGCTATGTTTACAGAGATCTTTCTTGAAGTGGCACAGAGGACATGTTAGAAAAATAAAAACTGTAGACCAGAACTTCCATGGAGGTCCCATGGTTAAGACACCGTGCTTCCAATGCAAGGGTCATGGGTTCAGTCCCTGTTGGGGGGACTAAGATCACTCGTGGTGCACAGCCAACACAAACAAATAAAAGAACCCTGAAGACCAGGAGATGGCCTGGGATGCCACTTGCCATTCTCTTTGTTTATTGAGACTTTTCTCCAGGTGGGAGCTTTGAACACCTGAGAATAGGTGAGCAAGAGTCTTGGCTGGAAAAGGTAGCTATGCTTATCTTTAAGAAGTCACAGACTTGCTAGAAGTCTTAATCCATTTAACAACCAGAACTGATGTTGGAACAGATGTGTGGTCTGAACCATAATTTATGAGTTTATTGGAATACAAGATCCTTTGAGGTCCACAGTTTTGGGTGCTGGCAGACTCTGAGTCCTGACAAATACACTTTTCCTAGGTTTCTAGGCACCTTTACCAGGAGTAAGCTTTTGTAAAGAACAACCTTTGTCTTTCTATTTCTACTTTGCCTCACTCAGGTTTTCTAATGTCGTCTCACATAAGGGCCTTCTGCCCCACTGTTGTTATCAGGTGGGAGAGGGAACTCTGTTATTCCCAATGTATTACTAAGGAAAATGGCAGCAATCAGAGGATTTCCCTTTTTGTCCAGTTTCTAGGAAACTCAGAGATTTACTTAGTGTTCAATCTCTGTAGATTGCTTTAACTTGGTTTTCTGGTACCATAACCCCCATCTCCCACACCATCATGTGATTCTTGATCTATTATGATTGTTTTAGTTGCCTCATTTGTGTGTATGGATCCCTGTACTTCACTCCATGCACCTCAGTTCTTTTCTCAACAGTACAGACCCCCTCTGGGAACTTCCCTGGCAGTCCAGTGGTTAAGACTCCCAGCTTTCACTGCAAGGGACACAGGTTCGATCCCTGGTCAGGGAACTAAGATCCCACATGCCACATGGCACAGCCAAAATAAAATAAAATAGATAACCGATAAGGACCTACTGTATAGCACAGCACAGGGAACTCTGCTTAATAGTCTGCAATAATCTAAATGGGAAAAGAACTTGAAAAAGAACAGATACATGTGCATGTATAACTGAATCATTTTGCTATACACCTGAAACTAAAACAACACTGTTAATCAACTATAAGTGCATGGTCAGTCATGTCTGACTCTTTGCAACCCCATGGACTCTAGCTCCCAGGCTCCTCTGTCCGTGGGATTCTCCAGGCAAGAATACTGGAGTGGGTTGCCACTTCCTTCTCAAGGGGATCTTTCCAACGACCCAGGGATGGAACCCACATCTCCTGCTTCTCCTGCATTGGCAAGCACATTCTTTAGCACTGTGATACCTGTGAAACCCCTGTTAATCAACTATACTCCAGTATAAAATTAAAAAAAAAAAAACAATGAAACACAGCAACCCTAAAAAAAAAAAATACAAACAGACTCCTCTGGACTCTTGGAAACTCCTCCACTCACCTGTCCGTCTGTGGGGATGAGCGAGAAGGACTCACAGAGACGGGGCCCCCTGCCCAACTCCCTAAGGGAGCTCTGATCCATCCTCTTGTCTGAATTCTGCAGCCGTTTCCTCTGCTTCACCACATCCACATCCAGTGTGAAGTTCAGAGAGGTCCCATCAAGTCCTGGGAATGAAGATCAGATCTTTCTGATTGCGCCAGGGAGGTCAAACTCCAGACCGAGGGCCCTCCCGCGAGCCCCTCCTGACTGGTGTCCCCCGCACAGGCACTTCCCCGAGTTTCTTCTTCATTTCAAAGTTACTTTTCTCATGTCTTCTGTCCCCTGGTTAGGGTCCCTCAGTGCCCCAGACCCAAACCTGGGGCTGAGCATCCCCAGGGCTAAGTCAGTCTTCCCTTTGGGAAGAGGGCTTTTAGGGAGGAGGCTGGGATTGAGGGGGGAAATATGGAGGAGGAAAGATTCAAGGAAGGGAAAGAGAGAGACCATAGAGTAAAAGCTGAAGATAGCAGAACTGGAAGAACCTTGTGGATTACCTGGGCCAACACCCTAACTGTAGAGAACAAAAACGGGGGCCCCAGCTTTCCTGGTGGTTCAGTGGTAGAGAATCTGCCTGCCAACGCAGGAGACAGGGGTTCAGTCCTGGTCCAGGAGGATCCCACATGCTGTGGAGCAACTAAGCCTCTGCGGTACAACTACTGAGCCAAGTCTGAGCGCCCCGAAGCTGTGCTCTGCAACAGGAGAAGCCCCCACAATGGGAAGGCCACACCCCACAGCTAGAGGATCGCCCCCACTCGCTGCAACTAGAGAAAAGCCGCACGGCAACAAAAACCCAGCACAGCCAACAGTATATAAAATAAATAAATATTAAACAAAGCAAAACGCCAGGCGCGGAGAGTGAAGGACACCTGCCCAGTGTCACACGACCTCCCAGCAGATGCTGTTCAGGCTCCGTGGCCCCAACCTTTCAGCCTGTACAGCTGGAAACGACAGGACTGCCCTTTTCTAATGATCAGACTTGACCCTGGACTCCTGCGGGAAAGCCAGGCCACCTGGGAGCGCGCTTTCTGACCTGCAGGAATAGAGTGACTTCTCGGGGATGGTGACTGAGAGACGAAGCCCTGGGGACTGTTGCTGAGGGTTTGTGCTGGAGGAGACCTCTTGGGTTGGCAGTAAGTACCTGGGCTGTGAAAGTACCTCTGCCTTCCAGAAGGTCTCCCAACCAGCACCAGCTAAGGGGATGGGAAGGGAAGCCAGGCCTCCAGCAGATTATCCAGTCCCCCTGGTCTAGAGAGAAGGCGGAGGGAGGGAAGGGGAGAAGATATAATCAGAGAGAAAGAGGAGAGACACCACACACACACAGGCGTGGGCACAGTAGCTGGAGGTGGAGAGGTGCCTGCCTTTTTCCAAGTCTTCTTTCAGAAACCCAACCCTTCAACCCGAAGACGAGATCCAATGCCCCTCTTCCCAAGAGGGTCAGAAAGACTCCTTCAGAATGTGGACTTAACAGCAGGTCACCCTTTTCTGGGGCAGTTCCCATTAAACTGAACCTAAAGTCACAGGAGCACCAAAGAACTGATGCTTTCAAAATGTGGTGTTGGAGAAAACTCGAGAGTCCCTTGGACTGCAAGGAGATCAAACCAGTAGATCCTAAAGGAAAGCAACCCTGAATATTCATTGGAAGGACTGATGCTGAAGCTGAAGCTCCAATACTTTGGCCACCTGATGTGAAGGACTGACTCACTGGAAAAGACCCTGATGCCAGGAAAGATTGAGGGCAGGAGAAGAAAGGGGCAGCAGTGGATGAGATGATTAGAATCTGAGCAAACTCCAGGAGATGGTCAAGGACAGGGAAGCCTGGCATGCTGCAGCCCATGGGGTCAAAAAACAGTCGGATACGACTTAGCAACTGAACAACAACAACAGGTCAAAGGAACTAAAATCTTATAGAGGGATTTCATAACACCCCAACCCTACCCAGCCCTCTTTCTCTGTCCCCTCCCCCACTGAAGCCAACAAGGAGTGACCACAACGCTGGACAGGTTCAGCTAGACTGCCTGTTACCTGATTCGGCAGCTAGGGTTGTAGAGTTGATTTCAAAACACAAAGACGCATTCACACTGCTGCTGAAACCAATGGGCAGTGCCTTGGGAGTGAAGTTCATGGACACCTTCAGATAAACCACAGGTCTTGAGCTACGTAAGACAGCAAAGGGGCACATGAGAAGTGACCACAGGACTTCTGGATCGGTGTCTGGCTCTTTCATTCATTCAATGAATATTTACTGATCATCTCTCATATGCCAAGTGCTCTTCTGAGTCCTCAGAACATAGCAGAGAAAGAGACAAGCCTGGCTCTGGTGAGAAAACAGACAACTGGCAAATAAACAAGAAACAACAGGAAAATCCTCTGTGCAGGAAAAGGTATGTTAAAAATAAAATAGGATAAGGTAATAGAGACTAGGGGCTACTGTGAAGCAGGTGCATTGTTATTCCCATTTATAGATGAGAAAACTGGGACTTAAGAGATTCTGCCCAAGGACACACCTAAGTGCAAGCTGAGGTTCAAACCCAGTTCGACAGAGCCAATACTCTTAAACAGCGCATTCACTCCCTCCCATCAGTGCCTGGTGTCTTCTTGGGGTCATTTAGGGCAGGGCAACAGGGTGAAGCTGCCCATAAGGCAGGGCAGACTCCTACCGGAGTACAGTCGCCCGGCCCAGCGCACCCACGGTGATGTCAGCAAGGCCATCGCCATTGAAATCTAAGCCACCGGCCACGGATGTGCCGAAGTACTGGAGTCCTGGGGCCACTGCGGAGGCTCTGATCCTCTGTGGGGGAGAAACACAGTGTCAGGGAGGGAAGGGATTTCCTTTCATTTTATTCAGTCAACAGATTGGCCCGCTCCGGGGACACTGAGGCACTGGAAGAAAAAGTAAGGTTCTCCCAGGGGAAGTGGCATTGGAACAGAGGCTTGAAGGGGGTGGAGCTTGACCAAGAGGGTAAGGAGAGCAGGCAGGGGTTAGTGCAGTGGGAAAGGGGAGACTGGGTGCCAGGAGGCCTGATGTGGGGCTGGGGTGTGCCTATAGAATTACATTTCAGAACCCCACTGTAGACACAGGGTGGAAGATGAGGAGGAGACAGGAGTCAGGGTGTAGGTGATGGGGATGGACAGGAGGGGCTGGATTTGGAAGATGGTGAGATCTTTAGGACGTGGAGGCTGACAGGCTGAGCTGGGCGTCTATGATTAGCCTGGGTTTCTGCTGTGAGCGGTGGAGGGATGAGGCCCAGAGAAGCAGCAGGTATCAGGGAAGAGGGTGCTTTCAGTGGGGCATCCTGGGAGTGAGATGCTGGAGGCCATTCAGGGGAGGGGCTCAGGAGCAGCTGGACACACAGGACTGAAGCTTGGAGAGAAACTGCAGCTGGAGGTGGGTGGCAGTGTACATAAAAGATAGTGTGGAATTTGGCAATGGAGTCCAGGGGGGTGAAGGTTAGGCAATGGGGTGGGGCGGGGGGCAGTGTGGGGACAGGAGCCAGAGAAGGGACAGAGAGAGAGAGAGGAAAGAGGATCTGGGGCAGGTCCAAGGTCAGGAATGCCAAAGAAGGAGACAGTCATAGTTCAGGAAAGAAGATGGATATTGCCACAACCTCTAGCCCCACTGGAAAGATGTGGAGGTGAGAACCTCCCAGTGACTTCTGTCCCCCCTGGGCTGTCTCAACCCCCTGGGACCTGCCTGACACTTAGGACAGGAGCTGGCTCGGGTCTCAGGCCCTCATATCTGGGGAAGATCAAAGTCCCAGAGTAGAGGCAAGAGGTCACCTGTGGCTGATTGGAAGAGAGGTCATTCAGCTGGTTGGTAGCGCGTCCATTGTAGATGTACACACTGCCAAAGCCTGCACCGTCGTCTGCCCCAAAGTCCTCCAGGGGGGCCCCAATGGCCACGTCTGTGAGCTTATCCTGACTGATATCCCCCACTGTTGCCATGGCAAAGCCAAATCGGGCATAAGTTAGCCTGGGGTGCCCAGTCAGCACGCGTGCCAAGGAGAAGGAGCCATTCTGTAAGGCAGAGAGGCAGCTCAGCCCTCAAGACAGGGAGGCAGTGAGGTCCCACCCCACTGCCACCCTGGGAGGCAGGCTCAAAGACTCATTGATTCTGACTCTCCAGCCAGGTGTCTGAGGCTCAGAAAAGGCAAGAGACCTTCCCAAGTTTACACAGTGAGTGACTGCTGAAGCTGGGGTCCTGCTGCCTTGCAGTCCAGGACCCAGAGCTTCACCCCTCTGCTCCCACAATTGGGGTACTGGTCTGGTGATCAGGAGGCCTGGCTTCTTGGCTTGGCTCCATCCCACACTGGCTCTGTAAACTGGGGAAAGTCTCAAACATCACTGAGCCTCAGCTTCCTCATCTGTAAAATGGGAGTGACAGCCACCTCCCACAGTTACTATGAGAAACAAGTGAGATCACAGATAAAACATGCTTTGTCAACTGTGCAGCTATATGGAATGTCATCATCATCAACATGAGATGGCGGGGTGGGGAGAATAAGAAAGAGGGGGAGGGGATGGAAGGGAGCAGCCACCCCACCAGGCTGCCATCCACCCTGAGCTCCCCATCACCGCCCTCCAGTGCCAGGCAGGGCCAGGGCGCCTCCAGCCTCTGTCACCTCAGCCCCAGGCTGAGCAGCCACAGCCTCAGCCACCTTGTGAAGACAGATATCTCTAACCTGCTTGTTCACACGGTACATGTAGACTCTGCCCTCCTCTCCTTCAATGTGGTAAAACGGGGCCGCCACCAACAGCAAGTCTGTGATGCCATCCATGTCAACATCCACAGGGCACAGCTCGGAGCCAAAATAGGACCCCAACTACAGGCCAGGGGGATTGCAGCTCACGGGGAGTGCCAGGGACCCCCCCCACCCCCACTGCCACCACCACCACCAGACCCCTGCTCATGTTCTTCCTGGACCATCAGATTTGGGTCAGACCAGGTCAGCATGTTCACCGGAATAACAAAGGAGGCTGGGTGAACAGCTGGATCCCCCACGATAGGGAAAACCAGCTGGCACTCAGGCACACAGAGCCGGGGCCGAGGCTGAGTCCTGCTCAGACGGGGTCCCCCACCTGCTGTGTGCCCTAGAGCCCACTCCTTTCCCTCTGGGGTCTCTGGATCCCCATCGATAATAATGTTGGCAAGGGGGTTCCTTCTCCAACAGGTACCTGCTCGCCCTCCAGCACTGGCACGAAGTTGTTGGTCTCTCTACCCACATTCTGGAGCTCAAACACAGCCCCCCGCTGCTTGTGCCGTGGGGCCCCCGCCAGATAGGAGAGGCCACTGTCCTTGTGCAGCACGGCCACTGAGTAACCTGCGGGGTGGGGTGGTGGCATTGTGATCGGGACCTCCCACCGGGCCACTCTTCTCCACCTTCCCAGTCAGGCCTTCCAAGTAGCTTGGGCAGCGGGGCAAAACTGGAGACACTATCTCATCCTCTTATCATCAGTGGTGGCTCCCACTTACCCATGTGCTCTGCCACACAGAAGTGATATACACACATTACCACACATACAGCCTCACTCAAAATGCTCTCCACACACGTGCACCACGCACGTTCATCACAAACGCAGTATATGAAGACTGAGGACCGGGTGAAGGTTCACCCACCACTATTACTAACGGAGAGGCCCCGCCTCCCTAGGCAGCGGCCCAGGACCTGGCACTTTGGTACCAGCATCAGGGTCCATCCCTCAGTCCACATGAACAACCAGGAACCCTACCACAGCCTGCGTCCCTACTCAAGTCCCGCCTCCACCCAGGCAGCCTCCGGGCCCCGCCCCCACCCAGGCAGCCTCCGGGCCCCGCCCCCACCCAGGCAGCCTCCGGGCCCCGCCCCTCACCCAGGCAGCCTCCGGGCCCCGCCCCTCACCCAGGCAGCCTCCGGGCCCCGCCCCTCACCCAGGCAGCCTGCGGGCCCCGCCCCTCACCCAGGCAGCCTCCGGGCCCCGCCCCTCACCCAGGCAGCCTGCGGGCCCCGCCCCCCACCCAGGCAGCCTCCGGGCCCCGCCCCCACCCAGGCAGCCTCCGGGCCCCGCCCCTCACCCAGGCAGCCTCCGGGCCCCGCCCCCACCCAGGCAGCCTCTGGGCCCCGCCCCTCACCCAGGCAGCCTGCGGGTCCCGCCCCTCCCAGGCAGCCTCCGGGTCCCGCCCTCACCCAGGTAGGCATACTGCGCAGACTTGGTGTCCACTGCTGTCTGGTTCAGGAAGCTGCTGTTACAGCTGTGTGTGTTATAGAGCAGTGCGCCCCCGGACCAATCAAAGGCCCCTACGGTTCCGAGCAGCACCTGCTTCTGCAGGGGAGCAGGGTTGGAGGCCATCTGAGCGGGAGGGACTCAGGGCCAGCCAAGGTGGCCGCGGTTCTACCTGCCAGCACAGCTAACCTTGCAGGGGATTGGGGGAGGGGGTGGTGGAGATCAGTGCCCACCGGCCCAGAGACGCAGGAGGAAGGTGAGAGGCAAACACTGGGTTTCGGCCTTGTACCCAGGATTACACCAGGGCAGCTGTCCCTCCAGTACCAGCAGCCCCTGGCACAGAAATCCAACCCGGGGGCCCAGATGTTGAGTGTATAAAAAGGGCGTGCTTGTGTATTCAGTCACATCAGACTCTATCTGCAATGCTATGGATTGCAGCCCGCCATGCTCCTCTGTCCATGGGATTTCCCAGGCAAGAATACTGAAGTGGGTTGCCACTTTCTATTCCGGGGATCTTCCCAACTCAGGGATTGAACCCGTGTCTCCTGCATTGGAGGCAGATTCTTTACCACTGAGCCACCTGGGAAGCCCACATTAAACAAGTATGGCTCAGCAAAATGGGGCTTATCTCCCCCAAGGCTGCACATCTGGGCCTGGCACCCAAGGCCCATTTGTGCTAAGTGACATGCTAACCATGCTCCCACCACACTCGTGGACCGTGTCCTCACAGCCTGTATCCCACCCCATCGGTGGGGAACAGGGCCTCCAGTGGGAAGAAGTAGCCAGCTTGGTGGGCAAACCCACCCAGGCCTGGGGGTTCCCAATCTGTGTTAAGTGAGCCACTTAACCCTTCAGCACAGGACAGAATGACTCCCTGTTATAAACAGGGTCACTCTCTCCTTGACCACACAGGTCCAGGTTAGGGTGAGCACACAGAAGTGTTTTCCTGTGTCCTAAAACAGCTCCTTCAGATGCCTCACTCCAGGAGGACCCTGTAAGCCAGGTGGGGGCAGGGGAGACCCTGAGCTCCTAGGAGTCCCTGGTGCTCAGTCAGCCACATACCTCATCCAGGATCTGGGCGCTGAACCCAACCTGTGCCAGCTGGTAGTGGGGGGCATCTCCAACTGTGCCTGAAAGCCAAGAAGCCCAGTGAGCCTGCTGTGAGTCAAGGCGAAGGGAAAAACCAAGTCAGGGTGGAGATCAAGGGGCCTGCTTTAACAGCTGCTGGCAAAGTAGGCTGGGCTGTTCCTTCCTCTTCCTGGGCCTCCGTTTCCTCATCTGTGAGCTCCTGGGAACAGGAACCATTCCCCAGTCACCCTTATTCCAGCACCAGAAAGAGCTTCTCATCAGAGCTTCACAGAATTTGGGAATGCCGAGAATGGCTGGGACTATTGTTACCTTTTTATTTTGATTTTTTAAACTTGTTATTTTATATTGGGGGCTTCCCTGGTGGTTCAGATGGTAAAGAATCCACCTGCAATGCAGGAGACCTGGGTTCGATCGTTGGGTCAGGAAGATTCCCCTGGAGAAGGGAATGGCTACCCACTCCAGTATTCTTGCCTGGAGAATTCCAAGGACAGAGGAGCCTGGCAGGCTCCATGGGGTTGCAAAGAGTCAGACACAACTGAGCGAGTAACACTTTCATTTTATATTGGAGTATGGCCAATTAACAGCGTTGTGACAGTTTCAGGTGGACAGTGAAGGAACTCAACCACACATATACATGTATCCATTCTCCTCCCCCAAACCCTCCTCCCATCCCGGCTACCACATAACACTGAGCAGAGTTCCATGTGCTATACAGTAAGTAGGTCTTTGTTGGTTATCCATTTTAAATATAGCTGTGTGTACCTGTCAATCCCAGACTCCCTAACTATTCCTTCCCCCCATCTTTCCCCCTGTCAGTTGTTGCATTTTTAGAGATGGAACAGCTGAGGCTCAGAGAGGTGAGGGGAGTTGCCAGAGTGCTCCACGGAGGGAGGATGGGGATGGGGCTGGAGGGCGAGCCTTGAGCCTCCTGCTGAATGCCAAGGGGGCCGCCACAGGGTGGCCAGGGCTCTGGAGCCTCACCTTCCACGCGAATGATGCTCTCCTGCAGTCTGTTCAGCAGCCCATCCAGAGCCGTGTAGTTGGTCACCTTGAAGGCATGATCCTCATCAGGGTCCGAGGCGATCAGCTTCAGCTCATTGTACGCTTTACTTTTATTAAATGCTTCTCCCACCTGCACAGAGGCCCCAGGTCAGTAGGCCAGCACCGTGAGTGGTCTCAAGGCCCAGGGAGAGAGCTGAGCCCCTCCATCTGGCCTTCAGAGCCCTCCATCAGCTGCTTCCTTCTTTCCCGTCACCTTGCTTCCCCACACACTACCTGTGTGTTCCTGAGCACACCAGGGCCCCCCACCTCCGCTCACGCTGTCTCCTGTGCCTGCAGTCCTTCCAGCCTTCCCCGGGCACTAGGTCAGTGGCTCCTTTTGTCCTCCGAGACTCGGCTCTGCACCAGCTCCTCCAGGAACCTTCCCTCCCGGGGCTCCCAGGGTATCCAGTGCTCTCCCCATACCTTCTGGGAGAGTAAGCTGTGACCACCAGTGGGAAATGAGCCATCTGGGGAAGACCCTGAGTGGGGTTGGGGGTGTGGGGAGCATGAGACACAGGGGCTGAGAGAAGTTGGTGTTTGTGACTGGAGCAGGGTTTGGGTAAGCTGCTTTCTGATGCCCCTCGAGGAACCTGGCTCCTCACTGCCTCAGCCTGTACAGAGTCACGAGATACCCCCAGCTTCTGGCTCTTACCCCAATGGCAAAGCGCTCAACACCGCGCATCTTTGGGGAATTGATGACAGTCGTGAGGTTGAGGGGGTCCTGGAAGATATCCCCATCAGTGAGCACCAACATGACCTTGGATGCCTTTGCTCTCGAGCCTCGGTTTGGTGTAAAGATGTTATCTCTAAGTCGGGGAGGGGGAAAGGGAGAGAACTTTGCCAGACGGTTGACTGAGCCCTGGGGAGGTTTTATTCACTGGCTTGTTTTAGAATCAAAGAGGATTAAGGAGCCCTCCCAGGAGAACAGAGCCCCAAAGAGGGGTGGTGATGTCCCTGGGTACACAGAAGCACAGGTACAGGAGGTAAGACCACAGCGCAGGTGTTCTTACCCCTCACCTGCTCCCAACAGACAGGTAACCCCAGAGGACAGCACTGGAGTCTATTCCTTGTGTGTATGTCAAACTAATAATGATATTAATTACAGCGGCTAAGATTTACATAGCACGTATGTGCCAGTCACTGTGCTAAGAACCATATTTTTTTGGTCGCACACTGTGGGATCTTAGTTCCCCAACTAGGGATTGAACCTATGCTCTCTGCATTGGGAGTGCACAGTCTTAACTGAATCAGCAGGGAAAACCTAGCACTGAACATATTTTAACCCATTTATCCTCAAAACTCCTATAAGGCAAGTACAATTATTTTTAATTGGCCACCCCTCGCAGCTTGTAGGATTTTAGTTCCCCGAACAGGGATTGAACCTGGACCTCAGCGGTGAAAGTGCAGAATCCTAATCACTGGACCACTAGGGAATTCCCTATGCTTCTCATTTTTAATGTGAGGCAGTTGAAGCACAGAAGTTAAACAGCTTGCCCAAAGTCTCATGAGTGCAAACTGGAGCTGGGATTGAAGCCAGGGAGCCTGCCCACTCACTCCTCTGGTAAGCGCTGTGCCCCACTGCTGCTCACAGGAGAAGTCTTTGGAAGAATTTTTGGAGGACTGTCCTGGGGTGTCATCCATCGGCCAAGGCTGGATTGGAAGACCTCACAGTCTCCGTTTTAGCCAAGGAAGAGCCTGAACCCTGACCCTGTCCTCTACATAGTCTGTCCAGCCACCTTCTCCAAGCAGGATGTCTCAGAGCCTCTGGGCAGGGCCACAGGCTGGCAGCCAGTAGATCTACAGATAACTCACAGGACGTGCTGCATGGCAGAGGCAGTCTTGGTGACTTTCTTCACTTGAGTGATATTCTTGACTCTGTCCAAGGAGGCTCTAATGTCTTGGCTGTCCAGAAGGTCAAGCTCGGTCTGGATGACTTCCCCATATTGCACCACGGCAAATCTGCACTGCAGGGCAGGGGCCAAGAGGGGAGGAGTTTGGCAAAGCTGCTCAAGGCTACCCCCACCCTTTAGATGGCTCCCCCTGGAAGAAGTGGAAGAATCCACTCATTCCTCCTAGTCTCCGGGCAGGAGGAGATGCTCAGGCAGAGGGGAACCTCTAAGCCAGTAGGGGTGGAGAAAGGTGTGAAAGTAATGGCTCCTGGTGAATCATGGGCTTCTCCCTGAATCTATGTCCCTGTGTAGCCGCCTCTTCCACATTGACTCCAGGATAGCAAGTGACTTCCACATCACTGCAAAGCAAGGTGACTTGCTTTGGCCAATGGACATCAGCAAATGTGATGCAATCAGAGGACTGGAAAGTGCTTGCCATGAAAGAGTTGGGCTGGGCTGGGCTGTTATAGACACAGAAAAGTGTCCAGAAAAGTGAAGGCAATTTAGGGTCCAGTCAAGCAGGTGTCTGCATCTGCAGGAATTAACTCCAAGTAAGAATGGCAGAAGAACCACCCAGCTGAGCCCAAACTGAATAGCCGACCCACAGAAGGAGAACAGATCCTTGGTGGATGTTTTGAAGCAGTTTGTTCACAATGGTGGTAGACAACCCACAAGTTGTGTGAATCCAGCTCTAAGGGAAGCCCACCTCAAAGCACTTCGTGTAAAAGTTCATCATCATGTTGTAGATGAAATCTTTGGCTTTCTGGAAGTCTGGGGGTTCAATGCTTCCTGAGCCATCCAGGACAATGGCGATCTCAGTGCCTGTGCCAAGACAGGGAGCAGGTTAGGAGTGGGTGTGGCATTTGGAGTGAGGGCAGCTCTCCCTGCTCTGAAGGGCACCCACCCAATCAAGCCCTGAAGGCTCAGTTCAGGGAGGACTCAAGTGCCACTCCCAAGAGTGAAGCCTTTGTCTCAGAGGCAGAGAGAGCCAGAACCTGCTCAGGCTCTGATGCTGTGTGAGTCTCTCCCAGCACCCCTGCTCCCTGGGCCTCAGTTTCCCCATCTGTAATATGGGGGAGACAGAGCTGGGACTGGTCAAGCCTGCATAATCCAGTCACTGCTCCCCACCTCTTGGAAAAGGCACAGCTCACCCCTGGAGGTCGCTAGCCTAGGGGGTCAGTTCTGACAGCCTCTGGGAGCAGCCCAGATCTGCCTCTTCTCACCAGCTGCCTCTTCCTCCTCTTCCAACTTCACATCCCGTCGCCTCCTGGCTGTGTTCTCTGTGCTGCCTTTTTTGTCCCTGGAGCAGTCTCCAGCATCCGCAGTGGTGTTGGGATCCAGAAATTTTTCTTTAAAAAGTCCACATGGAAGAGCTCAGAGTCAGATGGCTTCCTGGTTCACCTCCAGACCAGCCCTCACTCAGCTCTCCCTGGTTCCCTTCACGGGGGGCCCAAGGCTGCCCTGCCCTCTCCAGGCCCCTGTGTCCCTCTGCATCTACCACAGGCTGGTGCCTCTTCTTGCAGACCCCAGGAGAGCCCTCAGAGCTGTCCAAGGCCAATGCAGGTCCAGTCCTTACCAAGGTTGGAGAAATAGACCTGGGCCCGGGGATGGAGGTCAGGGGCCAGCAGGGTGCAGTGGCCTGTGAGCTCTGAGCTGAGGCTGTGGGGCTGCCGGGTTGGCACTTGAATGCAGACCTGGTGGAAGGGTGGAAAAAAGAAGGGGAAAGCCTGGGTCACCCCAGACCCAGGCCACCCCCACACCCCCATGCAGAGCCCAGAGCCTCAACCAGGCAGGGGCCACAGAACAACCTGTTCACCCCTCCCCAGGGGGAGGAGTCAATGTGCTGGGTCACACAGCGTACCCAGGTCAGAACCACCATCAGCCCTGGGGTTGATCAATGATACAGCTGGGCTCAGCCCTGAGAATAACACACCATCCAGGGCTAGTATCCACAGGGGTCGACCACAAGGGTCACCACCAGCTCCCCGAGGCCCTCCATCCCCTGTGCCACGCACACTCACCAAAACACCGTGGTGGTTCCGGACAGCCGTCACTCCCTGGTACCTCCCCTTTGGGGCGGGGACGTGCTCTGAAACAGTGAAGCACAGGTTAAGGGGGTAGGGATGCTGGGAGGCAACCCAGGAGCCAAGGTGGCTGCCACAGGGGCATCTTGGTCAAAGCCCCATGAGGACCAGCTGGCCACTCAGAGCAACCTCTAGAAGCTGGATGGGGGAGCCTTCAAGGACAAGCCTCTCCCCCAGGCTCATTCGGTGTCTCATTCCACATGTGCCCCACGATGTCTGCTCTATGCTTGGCCTGCGACAGATGGTGATAGGGATCCAGAAACACTGAGAGCTGATGCTGGTCCTCAGGGGACCCTGGGCTGGTGGGCAGGCAGGCAGAGAAGCTGCAGCGGGCGTGTGTGTGCCGCATGGAGAGGAGGGCAAGAGGCTGAGGGACTGGCCGTGGAGTCTGATGAACCCTCCCCTCTCCAGGTCCCGTCCCCAGGGAATCTTATTGCCCCACAACCCCAGGGGCAGAAGTGTAGTTCCTTCCCCTCCCTCCCCACTGTGGATCTCAGCAGACTCTCATATTTGAGTCACAGGGTCACTCATCCACCACGCTGGACCATGTCCCCTTCTGAGGCAGAGATGGAGGCTGTTCAACACAGGGCCTCCCTCACAGTCTAGGACTCCACCCCACACGGCCGAGGGGTCGTCAGCAAAGATGGGCCTTCATCTGGACTGGGTGGGATGGGGAGTGTTTGGTCAATGAGTGAATGAGGTCCATTCCTTTGTTCATTCAAACAGCATTATTGATCACTTAATATATGGCAGGCCCCATGCATTGGAAAAGATCCTGATGCTGGGGAAGATTGAAGGTGGGAGGAGAAAGGGATGAAAGATGATGGGATGGTTGGGTGGCATCACCAACTCAGTGAACATGAGTTTGAGCAAGCTCCGGGAGATGGTGATGGACAGGGAAGCCTGGCATGCTGCAGTCCATGGGGCTGCAAAGAGTCAGACACAACTTAGCGACTGAACAACAGCACGCTGGACGACAGGATGACCGCAGTTAGATGGGAGGGGGAAGGGTTGGGTCCCACTGAGGTGCAATGAGCTGGGGTAGGTTGGGTTTTGGAATCAAGCGGAGTTGGGTTCGCATCTTTGGTACTACCCAGATATGTGATGTTACTCATACTAGAAGCCAGAGGCCTCCTCTGAACTGTAGCTTCCTCTTTTGTAAAAGGCTGTGGTTTTGAGAATTAAAAGTACACGAAGCACATAACAGAGTGTCAGGCGACATGGTGAACACTCCATAGGTTTTGGATTTCATTTTCATTGTTAGAATTGGGTCTGTTAAAGATGGGTTAGGGGTTAGGGTTGGGTAGGGATGGGACTGGGCGCCAGGGTGGAAGGCTTGTTGTGCTGGAGTCTATGGTGGAGGGACTGGGTTAGGTGGGGCCGGGGCTGGAATGATTGGCCGGGATGAGTGGGATTCCCAGAAAGGAGGTCCTGGGAGCATTCCCCGGGGTGGGGGCTGACTCACCTACTGGTTGGCATTGGAGCTCATCCTGGGTGAGAGAACACTGATGCAGGGGCTTCGCTGTCCGGCTGGTTCTGGGGCTGGTGACCAGGAGCCTGAGCAAAAGTGTTGAGCTTGTCAGTGATCCCCTGTCTTCTCCCCACTGCCCAGGCTCAGTCCTTCCGTTCCAGGCCCACAGACCCACAGGCTCCCCATCTGGGAAACCATGGAAAAGACCAGACCAGGACAGGCAGGCAGGCTCCCGGCCCAGGACAGTGGATCTGCATTTCAAGGGAGGCACGGGCTTTAACCTTCACACGGTTTTTAGCAGGCAATGGCTAAATACCTCCTGTTTTTGCCTGCTGGCCCACCCTGACAGACATGGGGTGATATTGGTGGTAAATAAAAACTCTCCACTCTTTGATGGTGGTGGTGGGGATGAGGCTCCAGGAAGCCACCAGCAGCGCAGTTGTTTCTGCTGCAGGCAGTGCTGGCTCCTAGTGGCTGCTGGGGGGTGCCTGCCCCCACCTGGCTTCAGTGACCATGCTTCCTGAGAAGAACCTTCTAGTGCCCCCTCTCCCAGGGACTGGTCAGAACTGGAAGTTCTGGGCACCTCGGCTTGGTTAAGGCAGCCTCAGGAGACGTGATTCCCAATGGCCAACTCTGCCCCCAACCCAGAGCCCAGAGAGACACAGAGACAGTGTCAGCCTAAATATTCTTAGGGTCCATGCCACTCAGGGAGGAAAAGAGCTGCCCCACGACAGGGAGGTCTCTCTGTCTTAAGGGCTGTGAGTAGGTGGCATTGAGGAAGGGTGACAGGGAAGCAAGTCCAAGGTTGTACACCAGGGCAGTGGGAAGCCACAGAGGGCTTTGTGAAAGGGAACCACACACTCAGACAGGTCATGATGAGCTCCGGCGGGTTGGGGGCCAGAAACAAGGTTGTGTTGCCACTTCCTCACCTCTTGTTACTTGACATTTTAGGAAGTTATGAAAGATATTCACTTTATCTTTCATGGTTGACAGGATAATAATAAAATCTATACTGTGTGTGTGCCCTCCCTAGCTTAGCCCAAGCTGATTTCCACCCCGATAGGGCTGCTGTCTGTCAAGGTCAGCAGTGGTCCCCACATTGCCAAGTCCAAGGGACACCTTTCTGTCCTTGTCTTCCTCAACCTCTCAGCAGCCCTGGACTTAAGGGACCATCTCCCCCTTGAGCTACTTTCTTCTGGATTTCCCCTGACCTCCCTCAATATTCCTTCTCCCAATCCTTGGCTTGTTCCTTTGCTGTCTGACTTCTAAATGTCACCTGGGCTGGGTGGGTCCCTGTATGCCTCACCACACACTCTCCCTATTGATCCCCTGCAATCGCTGGCTTCAGTACACCTACAAATGCTGACATTCCCATCTTTATATCTGCAATGCTAGGATGCCTCCACCAGAAGCCAAATGAAGGACTTCCCTGACAGTCCAATGGTTAAGACTCTGTACTTCCAATGCAAGGAGTGAGGGTTCAATCCCTGGCCAGGGAACTAAGATACCACATGCTGTGGCACAGCCAAAACATAATAAAAATAAGAATAAATAAAAATTAGCTTCATCCTTGGAAAAAAGAAGAAAAAAGCCAGATCAGCATACTAGTAAAATAGAATATAGCTATAGCTATATTATATATATATATAAATCAGCATAGCTATAGTAAAATAGAATAATGACCCTTCCACTCCCAGAGAAGTCCACGTACTAATCCCCAGAGCCCACAAATAAGCTACTTTTTATGGCAAAAGGCACTTTGTAGATGTGATTAAGTTAAGGATCTTGTGATGGGGAGTTTATCCTGGATTATGTGGGTAGGTCCAATGTAATCGGCTTTCCCGATGGCTCAGCAGGTAAAGAATTCGCCTGCAACGCAGGAGACACAGGAGATTCAGGTTCAATCTGAGAGTCGGAAAGATCCCCTAGAGGAGGAAAATGGCAGTCCGCTCCAGTATTTTTGCCTGAAAAATCCCATGAACAGAGGAGAATGGTGGACTACAGTCCAAAGCATTGCCAAGAATTGTACATGACTGGGTGACTAAGCATGCATATCAATGTAATCACAAGGGTCCTTATCAGAGGGAGGCGCTGCTGGCCTTAAAGATGGAGGAGGGGGCCACAAGCAAGGGATGCAGGCAGTCCCTTGAAGTAAAAGAAGTGAGGGTACAGATTCTCCTCTTGAGCCCCTAAAGGAATAAAGCCCTGCTAACTCCTTGATTTTAGTTCAGTAAGACCCGTGAAGAACTCTGACCTCCAAAACTTTAAGATAATAAATTTGTTTTTTGTTTGTCTTTTCTTTTTGGCCACAGGGCACATGGGATCTTAGTTCCCTGACCAGGGGTCAAACCTGTGCCCCCTGCATTGGAGAGGCAGAGTCTTAACCACTGGACTGTGGTTTCTGTACCAATGTGTCCTGTTCTAAGCCACTTAAGTTTGTTGTGAATTTTTAATATATTTATTTTGGCTGTGTCGGGTCTTAGTTGCTATATGCCGGATCTTTTGTTGCCGAACACGGACTCACTAGCCGTGGCTCGCAGGGTCAGTAGATGCAGCACACAGGTTTAGTTGCCCCGCAGCATGTGGGATCTTAGTTCCCTGATCAGGGATTAAACCCTTGTCCCCTGCACTGGAAGGGGGATTCTTAATCACTGGAGCACCGGGCAAGTCCCACGTTTGTGGTGACTTTGTTATAGCAGCCCTAGGAAAGTAATAAATTACCTACCGCCCATTGTCTAACAGGTCTCTCAAATTTAGAATGTCCAAAACAGAACTATGGTCTTGTCCTCCTGCACCTGAACTAAACCTTTCCATCTCCCCGCCACGGATGCATGTCACCACTGACCACCACATTCTGGAGTCCGAGGCCTGGGGGGCACTCTTGTTTCATTTTTTTCACTCATCCCCTCCATCAAATGCATCAGTAAACCCTACTGATTTTTCCACCAAATTATATCTAAAGAACAGCTCTTCTGTTTCCCCTGCCACCATCATCTCGCCTGATGTGTAGTAATAACCTCCTAACTGTTATTTCTCTTTTTAAATTTAGTCTTGTAAATTACACCACATCACTCCCCTACATCAACAACCTCCCATGCCCTTAGAAAGAGAGTCTGTCCATACTCCTCGCTGCAGCCAACAGGGCCTTGCACCATCTAGCACCTTCCCCAACCCTGATACTCGCCTCCAGCTCCTTCGCTCCTCAAGCTCTAGCTCCACACTGGCTGGCTGCTGTTCCTAGGCTGCCCTCAGCTCTTTGCTGGCTTGGGCCTTCTGCCTTGCTGTTCCCTCCTCTCCCCAAGCCCGGCCCATTCTCATTCCTTGGCCTCACTTAACTGTCACAAATGCTTTCTCCAACCAGCCTCACATTACAACCCAGTTTCTCTTCTTTTCATCAGCCCATTCATTCCCTTCCCAGAACTTGTCCCTGTTTGATGGCATCCTGTTAACTTGTTTACTGTTTATTATCTCTCTCTCCCCCTAGATGATAAGTTCCCCAAGGATCGTTTCTATCTTGTTTGTTGTATTATTTAAGGCGGCTGGAATGTGGTGCAGAGCAGGGGCTTGGTAAATATTTGTTGAGTGATGTTTGAATAACCGTCCAGGCAGCAGGTGAGCAGGCCAGTGTAGAGTGAGGTTGAGGAGGGCAGTGTGCAGCTCAGCTCTGTGAGCTTAAATCTGAGCCCCCAAATTAGCTTGCCTGCTCAGCAACCTTGCCTCTTTCTCAGACCCTGCCCAGCCTGAGACTCAGCCCTGGGTCCAGCACCTTATTCTCTGCTCCCCCACAAAGGTGGGCTCAGAACTGGGCTCTAACCCAGACCACATTTTAAGGTGTAGGTGCAGGCCTGGAATAGCCTCAGGTCTCTTTCCTCCTTTAGGCCTTGGCTTAAGCTGTTACTTCCACTTGCAGTGCCTTTCACCTCCTTTCCCTGCAGAACAGTCTTCCTAAAAACCAGCTCCTCAAGAAGCCTTCCCAAAAGAAGGAGCACCTTGACCCCTTCCAAGCCTTCTAGGAAGCCCTCACTCCTGGAAATCTACACTTATCTGTGACTTTTGTTCCCACTTAGACTGTGAGTTCTGGTTGAACTACCATGTACAGTTGCACAGGTTGCACACTGCAGAACCCAAGGTTGCCTTTCATATCACAGTCATGCAATGCCATGGCCTGGGGCCCAGTCTGAGCTGCTTCTGCTGCTCACCCCTTTAACCAGCCCCTCCATCGTGGGTGGTCTGTTGATCTCCAGGTTTATCTACCGAGGGACTGGCAAACTAAACTGTAACTGAATTCACCATCAGCTAATAGCCCCAGGGACCCTATTACACCTGGGCTGAGTACAGCCCGTCTCCTGCCTTCATCCGTCTCTCACTCAGAGTCTATTCCCATACCTCCCAGGGGAAGGCCTTATTTTATGTTCCACACCACCAGCTGCAGAAGCTAAGTCCATGATGCTGCCAGCTCTGGCTGTTACATCTTACAGAGAAATGACATGAGGGAAAGAGGGGGACGCGTCATCCTTGCCCAGGGACCCCAGCTGGTTCCTCTGTGGCCCAGACAGCAAGAAATGCATTTCCTGCCCTATGAGCAGCCCATGGTCTCAGGCTCCAAGGTTTGAAACCCAGAAGTGCGTCCCACCACATCCTCCTCCCCTGCATGTTCAAACCTGTGAGCCCCTCTCTGCTCTAGCAGGTGTTTGCGGAGGTTTTCTTGAGCCCAAGAGGGCTCTTCCCCCAGCCCTGGGGTGGGCGGGGGGTGGGGGAGTGGCTCAGAGCCTTCTGCTCTGGGAACTTCAAAGACCCCTCCTCCGCTGTGGGCTTTTGGCTCGGCTTCTGAGAGAGGGGGGTTAAAGTCTGTTGGGCCTGAAGCGGGTGTGGTGAGGGCCCTGCTGGGGTACTGGTGGGAGGGGGGCTGGGCAGAAGACAGTCACTGATAACTTGGGCTGAAACCCAGCCTTGACCTTGATGAGCTGGGGGAGCAATCAGAATGTCATGCACTGCAAACTTTGTTAAAACTGAACGCTGACCCAGCGCAGAAGCCATGATCTAGCAATTCCACAGCTGGGCGCCCTGGTGCCTGATAAAAAAAGATGCCCATTGAAAGAAAATGCAGAGCTGTGCTGGTTGTCATAGCCCAAGGAAACTGCCAGAACACCTCTCATCAGCACTGTTCCCACATGGGAAAACTCTAGCAATAACAATGGGTTACCACTGCCGCAGGCAACAATGATGAAATTCCTAGACTGGGTGTTGAGGGAGAGAAGCCTGATCATATGCCTTATTTATGATAAGTTCAAGAACAGGCAAAGCCAGTCTATGGAGACAGGGAAGAGGGGAGGGCGGGGGAGGGCACGTGGGGACAGGGGTTAACTCTCTCCCAGGATGTGCCTGGTAGGGAGTGCATGGCTGTAGGGGGCTTGTGGGGGGCAGCCTCTTGTATGGACGTGACTTATACGGGTGGCTCACTTTGTGAACATTCGCTGAGTGGCAGGCTGATGCCAGGTGCAGTTTTCTGTGCAACAATGCAGCAGTAGAACTTTACCAGAACAAAACACAGCAATGCTTACCTTTAATTCACCTTCCTGCAGCCAGAACATTCCCAACAACCTTCTCACTGCCCTCCCTGCTTCAAGCCCTTCTGGCTCCCCACACCTTTCGTGCAGGGGGATGGAGCACAGCCCACTTCCTCCATCCAATTCTCATCGTGCTCGGCCTCAGCAGCCAACGACTTCCCAGCTCCCTGACTTGCTCAGGCTGGCTTCCAGACTTCTGCCCAAGCTGCTCTCAGCCCTGACGCCCAGCTCTATGCTGACTCCCTCTCCTATGCCTTCTAATTCCTACTCAGCCCCTACGTCCCAGTGACATTGCATATCCTCTGACTGAAGGACACATGTGGCTCCATGTCACCAAAGAGCCCTGCACATCCCCACAGGGCAATTATCCTTCCTCCCGTAATTGACCAATGGCGTCTTTTTCCCGCAAGAGCCTGGGAGCTTCCTGGGGGCAGGGACTGGGTCTCCTCTCTCTTATGCCCCAAGCTTTACCTGGCCCTAAGCAGATGCCCCATAATTACTGCCGAATGAATGAATGAGTGAATGGGCCCTGCCCTCACCACTGAAATCTAACAGTCACCAGCCTCTTCACTGGACAATGAGGAAACCAAGCAGGGGTCCGAGCCTGCTTAGCTGGTGTGGTCATGGCCCAAGTTCAGGGCTATGAGGCTGCCTCAGGGGCCACCACTGCCCACCCATCCTCCACCAAAAAGAGCTCCACTAAGTCCGACCCCCTGAGCGACTCTGCCCCAAAGCCGTCTGGACGCTGGGCTCATGGCTCAGCTGTGTTGGGTGGGCAGGAAACCCTGGACCACTGACCAGAAGCAAAGCAACTGAGGTGGGGATGAGGGGTTAGGGAACCAGCCAGGGGCAGCTGGGCCTTGGAGTAAACACAGGAAGAGCCCTGTGACCATCACAAACGAGACAGGGAGAGGAGGGGCTGCTGTAGATAAAGAGGAACAGCAATGACAGGCAACACAGGAACCTTGAGTCAACCCTGGCCTCAAGATAAAGCAGCTTTAAATGTCATCTTGGCAACAACAGGGGACATTGGAGGGTGTGTGGTGACTCTTCACTGCAAAACTTCTAAAACCAGACATGTCTCTACACACCACCATTACCTCCGGCTAATAGAATCCACATTTGATCTACTTGCTTACTGTCTATCTCCCTTGAGCATAAGGATTTGTGTCTGCTTTGTTCACCACGGTACCCTCAGGGCCTGGCACACAGTAGGTGCTCTGTATGAATGCTTGCAGAAGGACTTTGGTGGTCCAGTGGGTCCACACTCCCAATGCAGGGGGCCTGGTTTCAATCCCCCATCAGAGAACTAGATTTCACATGCTCTAAGCAGAAACCCCACATGCTGCAACTAAGGACCGGCACAGCCAAATACATAAATATTTTTTAAATAAATAAATGCTTGTGGAGTGAAGGGCCATGGTATAAATCATTCTACAACCTGCCTTCTCCATTTTACAATATGTTTCGAGACTGACTCAGTTCATAACCATTGCACTCGATTCATTCATTTTACCAGCTTTTGGTATCACATTAGATGATTCACACCTTATTTCTTTCACTTTCCGACGATGCTTATTTCAAAACAGCGTCACAATCAATACCTCTATGAGTACCTGAGAATATCCCCAGGGCTGGTATCTAGGGGTGGAATCCCCAAGTCAAAGGCCATGTGGAGATGGATGAAACTGGAGCCCATTATACAGAGCGAAGTAAGCCAGAAAGTTAAAGACCATTACAGTATACTAACACATATATATGGAATTTAGAAAGATGGTAACGATAACCCTATATGCAAAACAGAAAAAGAGACTCAGATGTATAGAACAGACTTGTGGACTCTGGGAGAAGGCAAGGGTGGGATGTTTCAAGAGAACAGCATCGAAACATGTATATTATCTAGGGTGAAACAGATCACCAGCCCAGGTTGGGTGCATGAGACAAGTACTCGGGCCTGGCGCACTGGGAAGACCCAGAGGGATCGGGTGGAGAGGGAGGTGGGAGGGGGGACCGGGATGGGGAATACATGTAAATCCATGGCTAATTCATTTCAATGTATGACAAAAAACACTGCAATGATGTAAAGTAATTAGCCTCCAACTAATAAAAATAAATGGAAAAAATAAATAAATAAAATAAAATATTTGATAAAAAAAAAAAAAAGGCCATGTGCATCCTCAGACCTGCATGATACAGCAAAATGATTCTCCCAGGGGATGATACCAACTCTCATTTCCACAAGTTCCTCCTTCACCACATCCTGGCCAACAGAATGTTGTCAGACAAAATGTTTCGCTTATCTACTGGGTGGGTATGGATGATATGTTTAAAATACAAAGTGATGTGTATTGATCTTAAACTTGGCCATAAATTGTGTCAAACCCTTAATGTGCATTAACTCAAACAGTCTTTGCTTTGAAATAGGAAAATATCACCCCCACTGCAGAGATGAGAAACTGAGGCGGGCGGTTGAGTGTCTTGCTATAAATACAGAGCGAAGCTGTCACCCAACCACGGCGGCCAGACCCACAGCCTGCCTCGCCCGTAACCACTACGCCTGCCTGCCTCATAATTTCCATTTTAAAAAATATTTTTTTGTCACTGCCCAAAATTTCTATATTGAGCATGTGTTACTTTTGTAAGAGACAAAAGAGCCTTGATAAACTGTATTTTAAGAGAGGTTGTTAATCTCCCCCCCTCCACCCCAGGAGAGGCCAGGGTGAGGTGACGGGCCAGCCTGCAAGGACTGTCCCTGGGCTCACGGAGTCTCCCCAGCACGCCCCTCTGAAAGGGGTTCTCCCAGGCTGTGGAGCGGGCTGCTGCGGCCTTGACTGGGGCGTTCTCCAGCTCTCCGAGGCCCCTTCGGTCCTCACTGCCCATCCCCCACCCGCTCACCAGGTCTGCTTGCTGCTGGAGTCCTGATGCAAAAGGGAGCTCAGCACATAGGGCGCGCCGCCCTCGGGAGTCACCCAGGTCCGGACCACGTCCACATTGAAGGCGGCCAGGGGAGCCAGGCCTGAGGAGGAAAGAACAATGAACAGGAGAGGCATTGTTATTCCATCACCTCCTGCCATGCTACTATCCCCACTTTACAAATGGAAAAAGCAGGACTCCCAGGGATTTTTTTTTTTTTTTCATAAGAATGACTGGAACACAGGCACATTTAACCCAGAGCCCTTGATCCTCCAGCTAAACCAAGCTGTGTCCGTACCAAGGCTCCCTCCTCCAGGAGGTCTTCTTCTTTTTTTTTTTTTCTTTTGGCCATTCCTTGCAGCATACAAGATCTTAGTTCCCTGACCAGGGATCAAATTAGTGCTCCTTGCAGTGGAAGGGCAGAGTCTTAACCAGGGACAGTCAGGGAAGTCCCCCATGCCCCAACCCCCGCTCATCAACCAAGGGTCTGTTTCCATAGGAATAGGACTGGGATGCAGGTATGTCTGACCCAGAACCCCTGACCCTCCTACTAAACCAAGCTATGTTGGTACCAAGGCCCCCTCCTCCAGGAGGCCTTCCTTGATTCTGTCCCAGAGCACTTCCCACCTTCTCATACCTCCCACTGTTCACTTTCTGTACCTGCCTTGGAGCACATGCTCATCACTGTGTCAGGTACCAAAGTTAAAATAGGCTATGGACCCAGTGGAGAGGATCTGCATACATTCTGTCTACATACATCTCCATCAATTGATCCAAGAGAAAAAGATATGTCCTTCAAAAATACCTATTTCTAACAGTCCCAAACTGGAGCAACCCAAATGACCATCTGTTGGGGAATGGATAAACTGATATTTTCAGACAATGGAATACTATTCAGAAGTAAAAAGAAACAGACAGTCAACATGCACAACAAGATGGGTGAATCTTCCCCGGTTGGCTGAGACTCTGAGTTCCCAATGCAGGGAACCCAGGTTCAATCCTTGGTCAGGAAACTAGATCCCACATGCTGAACGAAGAGTTCCCACAACTAAAGATCCCATGTGCTGCAACTAAGACCAGACACAGGTGAAATGAATAAATAGAGAAAAATAAATATTAAAAAACTGTAGCAAAAAATGTTGCCTGGAGTAGTGAGAGTGAGGGTGGGAATTAACTGCAAAGGGGCAGAGAGGAGCTTTTTGGGGTGTTGGAAATAGCCTACATCTCTATAGGCATTTGGATTACAAAGACATGCATTTGTCAAAAATACATCAAATGATCCACTTAAAATTTGTGTGGCTTACTATGTAAATTTTACCTTCAAAAAAAAAAGAACCATAAGCAAATATTGAATTCTAGTTAACAGGTATGCTAAAATGTTTAGGGATAAACTGTGCTGATGCCTGCAATTTACTTTGAAATGCATCAAAATGTAAGACAGCTTGATGGGTGGGTGGATAGCTGGATATATATATGGGTGCTAATTTATATAGAGATAGATATAAATAAATGCTTCTATATACATTAATTACAACTGTCAACATTTTGTTGTATTTGCACTATCACATATTTTACATATATGTGATATACAAAAATGTATATATTGTAAAATCTGTACATTGTCAAGTCTGTCATATGTGGTTGTCCATTGCACAAGTTTTTCAACTTTTCTGTATGTTTGGAAACTCTTCACTAAAGCTTTGGGGGGAAAACTTGGGGAGGCGGAATTGATATGGATATATTGCTCCCCAAAAAGGCTGTGCCAATTTGTAATCCAACAACAAAATGGAAGGCCTATTTCCCACAGCATTGCTTGAGCTGACTGTGCAGACCTCTTCATCCTTGTTTTAAAAGAGTATCTCATCATTTTCTTCCAAAACTACTTTTTAATTAGGAGTGAAGTCAAGCCTCTTATTATAAGTTGTTTTCTGTCTATTCATATACACTACCCATCTCAAAGAGATCTTTATTGTTTTCTTTTTCGTTCTTTTGGCTATACAACGTGGCATGTGGGATCTTTAGTTCCCTGACCAGGGATTGAATCCGCATCCTCACAGTAGAAGTTTGGAGTCCTAAGCACTGGACCACCAGGGAAGTTTTCTTATTTAATATACAAGAGCTTTTTTTTCCAAAAGAAATTGTCGATGTGTTACTTAGCTATTTGTTCTACTTCCTTATGTTTTTTCCCAAACCTACGTTTATTATGTAGTCAAATTATTTGTCCTGTGTCACTTGAGCTTTGGGTCGTGCTTTCCCACCAGAGATTATTTTTTTTAATTCACTCTTATTTTCTCCAGTATGTTATTTGTTTCATTTTTTTGTGCTTACATCTTTGATTCATCTAGACTTTTTTCTTTTTGGCTGCACCATGAAGCTTGTGGGATCTTAGTTCCCTGACCAAGGTTCAAACCCATGTCCCCTGTAGTCAAAATACAGTGTCCTAACCACTGGACCGCCATGAAAGTGCCTAGATTTTATTTTTGCATATATCCAGCTTTAATTTTTCTTCCCCCCCAAATGAAACTGTCTCAGCATTCCTTCTCAAATAGCTTATATTATTCCCATACGTTTGAAATACCACTCTATCATTCTCAGAATTCTCACATGCAATTTGGTGTCCCCAGGCACTCAGTTTTGCCCCATTGACCTCACTTTCTTCTGCTTGGACACATTCATTCGTCTTCTGACTTTCTCTTTCCAGATTTGTCCCTCCAGGTACATCCTTTCCATACCAGTAGTCAGAAAGAATTTTCAAAAGCACAGTTTGACCGTGCTATGCCACTGCTTAAAATTACAGTATATGTTTGCATGGGGGAAAAAAGGCAAAGTGAAGCTCAGTCTATAGACTTTTCTGTTCAAATACTGCTCAATTAACAACTTTTTGTCACAATGGCTCTTGACAAGCTTGGCCACTTCTCGAGTTTCGCTCATTCTTTTTTTTTGCTTTGGCCACAACCTCACAGCTTGCAGGATCTTAGTTTTCAACCAGCGACTGAATACAGGACCTGGCAGCTAAAGCACAGATTCCTAACCATGGGACTGCCAGGGCGCTCCCAGCTATGCCACTTAGAAAAAGGACATTCCTTTTTTTTACACTGATAATGATTTTTTTCACCCCTGAATACACCAAATAAACATGCTATAAGGAAGTGTATTCTGACATTACATTTTCAGGCAAAAACATATGCACCAACTTACTTACATGAGAGTTTCTAGCCCAACAATATCATAGGAAACAAGTCTGCATTGCTTGCCAAGTTTGGGTAAACCTCAAATACTTTGTTTTGCATATGAATGCCCATCGATATGCTGAAGAGATAGTATCTTCTATGACACTACAGGCTACTGAGTGTACAAGATACTTCCATGTGTCTTGAAGTGATTTTAAGGTTTAGTATTTATTTTGGCCTCAAAATATTTCTCTGTGACTTTATTTTTAAAGGGAGTTTAAATGTAAGATGGCCATGGGTCCCCCAAAAGTTAAAAAACAGTAAAGAAATGGTACAGAAAGGAAAATGTACTTTTTCAGTAATGACCCCCTCACACCCATCCTCCACCACCCACCCCTAAGTCTTCATTTCCTCCTCTAATGAGGACAGCAAACCTTCATTACAATAAGTTGTATCTGTAAATTGTAATTTTATATTCCAATGACTGGGTTTTTAATATACACTTGTTTCATTTGTAAATTTATAAATTTTTCCATCATTAAAAGTTATTTAGATATTGGGGTGGCTGGAGTGCATCACAATTTTTCCTTTGAAAAATTGATGGAAGTTTTTTTTTTTCCCCCAATTAATGGCTTTTCACTTGGCAGTAGAGATTTTAGGAACCAAGTAAAATCCTCAAGCAACAGACAGGTATAAACTATTCTTTCAACTAAAGAAGAGAAAGAAATACAAAACTTACGACTATGTGGTTCTTCACTCCCTAAGGAAGATATAACAATTTAAAATATGTATGTCTCCAATAACATTACTTCAAACTATACAAGGCAAAAATTGATTGAACTAAAAGATTTAACAAGTCTTTCATATTAGGTATAAGAGCAGACCAAAAAAAAAAGCAAAAAACCAAACCCAGTAAGTATTTAGAAGATCTGAACAACACAATTAACAAACTTGATATAATTGACTAACAGAATATTATAGCCAACAATGGCAAAGTAAACATTTTTTTCAAGTACACACGAAATAGCAAAATTGACCATAAGTGTGCCGGGTCATAAAATAGACCTCAGTAAGTTTCAATGGATTTACATAATCCAGAGTATGTTCTCTGACTATAGTAGAATTAAACTAAAAATCAATAACAAAAAGAAAGCAAGAAAAATCTGAACTTCTTGGAAAATAAGCAATGTACTTCTAAATAATGTAAGGTCAAAAATGGAGACTTTAAAATATTTTGAACTGAATGAGAATTAAGATAGGACAAATCAAAACTTATGTGATACAGTTAAAGAAGTGCTTAGAGGAAACGTTTCATACAACATTATATGCATATGTTAAAAAAAAAAAAGAAAGAAAAACTGAAAACTAGTTATCTAATATTCCATCTCAAAAAGCTAAATGAAAAGCAAATCAAACTCAGAGAGAATACCGGAGGAAAAAAGATACGAGCATATCAAGGAAAGAGAAAACTAACCTACATAGAGAAAATCAAAGCTTGGTTTTTAGAAAGAGTAATAAAACTGATAAACCTCTAGCAACACTGATTAAGGAAGAAAAAAAGAGAGAGAGAGAACATAGAAATTACCAATATGAATGAAAAGACTACATCAGAACAGAGCCTAAGACATTTATGAAATAAGAGGACAGTATATACAACTTAGGGCTTCCCAGGTGGCTGTAATGGTAAAGAACCCACCTGCCAATGCAGAAGACATGAAAGAGATGCAGGTTCGATCCCTGGGTCAGGAAGACCCCCTGGAGAAGGGCAAGGCAACACACTCCAGTCTGTTTGCCTGGAGAATCCCATGGACAGAGGGAACTGATGGCTACAGTTCATAGCCCAAATAAAGGCAGCCAAATAAATAAAGAAAAGAAAATTGATTAGTTAAAAAGAATTCCAGCAAATTATTATGGGGAAGGCAGAGATGCTAGC